ACTTCAGTCCCATTTATTTAAACACAAACTGCTCCACAGGAGAACAATGATTAAAACCCCCACAAACAAACAACTAAAAGAAGGACACAGAATCAGTAACCAATCAGTACGCAGGGATCAGCTTCTTTACCTGCCCACTGCTCCATTGGGTAGCCACTATTCAGTGCTGTCCCATTGCAGTCCATTGAAGCTGAGCTTCAACAGGGTTTATATGGTTTATACAGTATATGGTTGTCTGCTAAAGGCAGGTATAAGGAGAAAATCTGATCAGACTGTGATACTGGATAAACAGCTGATTCTGAGTGAAGCGGCGGTAGAGTTGATCAGGTTTTAGTCAATGTCAAGTTAATGAAGCCAAATCAATAAAAGTCCAGACATTTGATTTGACCATTAACTTGGGGACAGGACAGAGGAGAGTGTCCCTGCTGTCTCAGAGAACAAGTCTTCTGTGTCTTACCCTTACCAGCAAAGACTGTGACTTACCTGCGTCCCAGGTCAAAGACCTGAAGTCCACTATTGGCTGAAAGCTGTGAGTGATGTTCCTTTGTAAAGTCATCACTGTTCAGTTTTACTGAGATTTTCTCACAGAAGACACGATGGTGTACATTGTGTCTTCTGTGTGTCCACAATGAAAAAAAGTTCACTCAACACTTTTGGTAACGTGGATAAATTCACATTCAAGCTCAGACCTTTTTGAGTCTGAACAAAGTGATTCAGGTCGGGATTATAGTTTTGTTTTCACGGATTGCTGAATGAAATCAAACTCTTCTTTTTTTTTATTTTTCATCCACCTCTCAGCGGAGCAGGTCTCCACACTTGGACCCTTCACCAGGACAATTACCAAGAGAGTTTTGACATTCAGACCCTGAAAGCTCTTAGTGTTCTCCGCCAAAGTCCTGCTGCTGTCAATCATCAATGCCCCCCTCTGACGGCCTATCAACAGGACTTTGGACCACAGTCCTTGCTTCTGCATCAGGAGAAGGTCACATGAATGGGAATTCTCAGATCTGAGATAGATAGATGGATGGATGGATGGATGGATGGATGGATGAATGGATGGATGGATGGATGGATAGAGAGATAGATAGATAGATAGATAGATAGATAGATAGATAGATAGATAGATAGATAGATAGATAGATAGATAGATAGTGTGACAAACAACAGCAGGGAGAATGTGCACTAATAATGGAAACAGAGTTATGGAATGTATGTGACTGAGAATACAGTAATGTCATGTTGTTGGTGCCTGGCTTCAGGCTCTAACATGTCCGTTGAATAATAATAAATAATATCCTCAAGAAAACAAACAGTCGTCTGTTTGTTTCTTTAACAAACAGGTTTTGGTGAAACCTGACTTTTCTGACCTTTCAAACCAGACTTCCTTTAAATTTTACAACACAAATTTTACGACCTTTTCCACTCTTCTACAATGAAACATTCGGCACCATTTTGTATATAAAAAATGATAACATCTAAATAATCAGAGTCACGGGAGGGTTAAAAAAACAGAATAAAAAAAAAACACAGCCACAACCCACTAACCAACCCTCAATCCAATTCAATCATTCATCATCTGAGTTACCAATCAAATATCAATCAATTCAATGATTAACTGACCTAAACAAACAAATTAGACACGACCAAAAACCTGACCAATCAAAGACTACAATTCAGCCTCCTAAACGACAAACCAACAATTTGAAATAAAAGTATATCAAACCAACTAAGTTAACCCATATCATGTGGACATTTTTTTGTTATAAAAAATGTCTGTGCTTTGACTGGGAGTCTGATCAATACAGAACATTTCAATGTTTGATCTCAGCGGGAAACAGCAGGAGTGGCGTGAAGATGTGAAGGTGATGGTGAACCTCAGCCAATGCTGACCTGTTTGGTTTTGTTTTTTTTTTATCACAAGCTACCTTTTGACAGAATTTAAAAAATATGCATGGAAAGTTTTTATTGCTGCAGCAGTAGAACCGGTCAGTCTGCAGCCGTCACTGTTCATATAAAAGCTCACTGTCTGCAGACTCAAAGGACAAAACGCTCTTATCATCATCACCATCATCACCAGCATCATTGTCTTGCGGTAGCAGCCAAACATTAGGTGAGAAACTTGTTAATTATTTTAAATTGATAAATAAATGAACTGTTAGAGTTTATTTTGGACTTTCATTTTGTTTGTTTTTTTATCAGGATCAAAGTCTGATTTCAGAATTTTCTTGCTAGACTTTTTTTACACTCAAAATTGTCAAATTTTCTCCAAATGTTTGAGACTTTTCTAATCTGTATTAAGGAGGAACAGTAACGCACCATAATTAAACAGATTATGAGTTTGTGTTTTATAAAACATGTACATTGAGACACTACGCCGCCTTGAAAGAAGTACAATTTTGAATGCATTTCAATAACCATTGATACCAAGACAGAGTATAAAGCATGTAATGTGAAAGTTACCTAACCAGCCGGTTCTAGCAAAATCCTACTTCCCTGTGTTTTTATATAACGCACTGATGAAAATGTGTGTAATACACTACTTTAAAATCAGTTTAAATTTGTTATTATAATTTCATTTTGCAATAATCATGACAATAATCCCACGATTTACACCATTTAACTTATACCAGTGTGTTCCTCCTCTGAAAACCTTTTTTTTTTATACCAGCACTATGACCAAAATCAAAATGAGATCAAATCTACCGTGATCACTTCAGGTGCAGAAACTCAGATCAATGTTATCTGATCCAGTTCAGGTCAAAGTTCTCCTGCTTTTCAGTCACAGGACTTGCTAACATGAAGTTAGGACTCCTGGTGGTTCTGACGGTGGCGGCGGTGGTGCCCGGCATGTCCGATGGACGCAGGGTGTCTGAATGTGAGCTGAAAAAAAAACTGGGACAGGCGCTCATTTTGCCAAGTAGTCTGGAAAAGATCAAGGAAAGAATCCTGGGAATATGTGAGTTTGATTTCATTCTGAAAACATCCGTAGGGGTTTGAAAATGTCGCGAAAGTAACTCACCTCTTACCTCTGGACATTGTTGCATGTGACTGGTTTCCCGAAGTGGTCTGTGAGGTGAAGCGCAGGTCGGGTCTTAACACCCACTTGGTCAGGGCGATTGGAAATCGCAGGACTACGACAACAGCCATGCCGACAACCACCAGGTTATCAACGATTGAAGAAACCACATCAACAGCAGAACCTGCCACTACAACACCTGACAACACCTGAACCAACGACCACCACAACTGCAATCACAACCACAACACCTGAACCAACAATCACAACACCTGAACCAACAATCACAACACCTGAACCAACGACCACCACAACTGAAATCACAACCACAACACCTGAACCAACAACCACAACACCTGAACCAACAACCACCACAACTGAAATCACAACCACAACACCTGAACCAACAACCACCACAACAGAATCTCAAGGACCTCGACGCAAGCGTGGCGTTGGTCGGGGGAGTAATGAGTCTGGATCTGTGGAACTGGACAGCAACCAGGAGGAAGATAGTGAGGAAGATAGTGAGGAAGATAGTGAGGAAGATAGTGAGGAAGATAGTGAGGAGGAGGAGGAGAAACATTCCAAGAAGGCAGGTAATAAGATAAAGTCTTACGGAATCTTCCAGCTGACAGACAGTTATTTCTGTGCTTCCCCAGACCTCGTCAGTGTGAACAAGTGCAACAGGAACTGTGTCGGTGAGTTTCTGCCGGAAAGTCATTTAATGAAGTCGTTGAGAAAAAGTCGACATGCCAGTAAAGTATGTGTGGTTTCTTTTTCTCAAAGATTTCACCGATGATGACATAGCAGATGACATCACGTGCTTTGTGGAGACTAATTTTTGGTGGTAAGAGCCCAGAAATGTTGTAGTATAGAATTATTGTTGCTAGCCTAGCTTTGGCCACAACGATCCTAGTGCATCATAGCTAGTCCTAAATTTACAAATAGCATGAATAAAATAATCCCCCAGCAACGGCTGGAGGAAGATAGTCAAAGTGGGCCTGTGCCATATTAAGCCAGTTTCAGTAACTATCCCAACACAATTTAGCAGAAACAGCAGGATACGCTGTGAGATAGCAAGTATTTAATGCCAGTGATAAAAAAAAGTTGAGGCCCACGCAAAAATAAACATAAACAGTATATTGTACAAACACAGGTTTTGCATTTCTGAATGAAGATCTGAACAAATTACTAAATTATATTCACACATTTTAACACATAAGGCTGTTGACTGTTGCACCATTGACCCCCTTGTGGCGAAAGTGCACAGCTAAGCACGTTCCTAACAATGTCTTTTTGCTCACTGCAGGGTTGTGCTAAAGAAAGCCTCTTCCAAATGTTTGAAGTTCCGGGTCTCCAAATGCTTCTGAACCAGACCTAGAAGGTCACCAAACCTGGTGGTTTTTCTCCTTCTTTAATTATCGCGATCAGTGATTGTGATCAGCGACTGTCTTGATTAGTTGTGATTTTTTTTTTGTCTTGATTTCAAATAATCATGGAAAATAAATTGAACTGCAGAGTAAAGTAAAGGCTTCTGTCGATTCACTTCTACACACATATATACCGCACGTGCACACCTCACATATACAAGTAGAACCACCTAAACGAACTAGCTCATAAAATGAACAGAGATCCAACCACGCATTTTCATCCACTTATCCGTTACCAGGTCGCGAGGGCAGCAGTCTCCATGACCGCTACCCAAATCACACTGCACTGTACCAACCCCCCTGAACCTTCCTGCGGGTGGTGAGTCCACTGGAAGGTACCAACCGCCCTACCAGAGCCATTGCCTCTGGACCAAAGCGCCACCCAAACTGACACGTCCCAAAAAAACACGTAGAGCGCCCTAATTAAACTCAACTAAACTAACTAGGACTAACTTGGAGCTCCAGAACCGGATTGACATGTCTTTGAAAAAAAAAAAGCTCTTTGGCTAAGCTAAGGTCCCTAAGCTGTTTACACCTTGCTGTTTTGGTGTGGTCACACACACTCACACACACACACATACAGAACGATACCTGATGCTCTGGAACTCCAGCACATCTTTTGTGGCCTGGGAAGATGACACAGTTTCACCCCTCTCGATCTTTTTAGCAGGAAGGTGTGACCTGTAAAAACAGAAAAGATGTTTTCAGGGGAAAGGATCATTTTTCCAACAAAACCTGCTCCACCCTTCCTCGACCTCATACTGCTCAGAAACCCAAGTCCTGTCAGATGATGGGATGTGGCACGGCAGCCCAGGAGCCATGTTTCAGGCAGCACGGGAGCAGTCTTTATCTGAGCAGAACAAAAGTCTCATCTTTTCTCTGATTGGTCAGAGGTGGCTCACCAGAGAGCAGACATTCTGAACATTACATTAGCCCAGGTGAGGCCGTCAGAGTGGGACGCTGAGATGAAGATGGAAAGGCTTGTGCTGGTTGTTCTGCTGCTGGTGCTGGGCTGTGGCCTGGCTCACAGCAGGATTCTTACCAAATGTGAGCTGATCAACTTGATCAGGAATCAGGCCCAACAGGAACAAAAGATCGGGAACATTACAATTGCCAAGAGTGAGTACAAACTGCAAGAGTTTCATCAGAGACACAGAGATTCTTAAATATGTGATAGAGAGAGTCACATGACGTGGCTTCGTTTTTGCTTCTAGATGAGATTTTGGACTTTTCTATTGGTTTTACTATTTTAACTTTAACCTAAATGTGTTACGGACACATTTTTAATCACAGTCATCAGTCTATATCCTGTTATATCCTTTACCTCACTAAAGTCTTTAGAGAAAATCAGTGATTTTTAGCTTACTAGGGCATAGCTGTTTATGCAATGATGCATCCGTCAGTTAATTCAAACGTGTCAATTTGCAACTTCACTGTTCTTAGTACAGATTTTACTTTAGCGTTAGTGACAAAAACTGACCACAAGGGACAGCAGCGGACCAGCAGCTCCTGTGCCTCTGTGAGCTAAAATCACTAGTTTTCACTAAGGTGTGGGAGAGTGAGTGGTTTACAAACTCACATTCAACAGTTAGATTTTTTGTTAACCTTCTCTTGCCCACCTCCAGTGGTCTGTCACGCTGAGAAGTTGACGGGTTTTGACACCAGTACATTGGAGGAGATGACTGTGGGTCAAAAAACCTGGAAGTTGTACGGAATTTTCCAGTTCAGCAATCACATGACATGTAAGGAGCCGGGCAACCATCGTCGTACGACCTGTGACAACCTCTGCAGTGGTGAGTAGTTATTATTATTATTATTATTATTATTATTAATGTAGATTTAACACAATAATAAAAAGCTTACTTTGAATACTTTTCTATTTTACATTGTAGTGATTTTTATATATGTTTAACTCTGTAAACACCAATGTGAAAACATGAGTAACTTCATATCAAGATCCTGTACCTGGTCCGTGTCCAAAGGTTTAGTTGATTCTGTTCGCTGACGTCAGTGATTCAAAGCTAGGCCAACCCTCTCTAGGACTCATGAATCATCTCCAGATCCACCATATTGGATGGTCTTTGGAGGTTTTTGTGTGTGACTGCAGTAAAGTCATTAAGATTTACTTTGGTCTCCTGGAGACACTTTGTCATCATTTTGACTTCTTCTACGAGATCAAACCTGCCGCAGCCTTTGCAGGTTTTCGCAACTGTGCTGCAGACATCATCTGGACACACAGACTGGACCCTAGCTTTACTTCAGCGACATGGCCTTTAACTTTAAATCCTGGAACATTTGGGATGAAGATTTGGATTTCATCAACGTGTTCCACTGCCAGGAATAGTGTTCTCTGCCTCTTCCTTCCTCTCCCAAACAGAGAGAACATCTCTCTGGTCAGGTTTAGTCTCCAGTATGTGCCCTCTGCTCCAGCTTCTTCTCTGCAGACTTCTGTCTGTAATAAAATATAAAACACATTATGTTTCTGTAGGAAAGGTAAAATAAGATAAACTATTCTGTTCAGAAATGATGTGTTTGAAAATGAACCAACTTTGTCCAGTTGCTTTCGATGGAACTATTTTTTGGTTTAAAAAGAACAGCTCTTTTCATTCATCGTTTAATCAGGTTTCCTCTTCCTGTCTGTTAGCATAGATGCTAATGCTCAACCAGCTTAATCTTCATCATCTGCTTGTGTGTTTATCTCACTGTTAGACAGGCTTTTTTATTCACTCTCACCAAAGTTTGAAGACGAATACAAATACAACTTTTGTGATTGTTTTTGATTCGATTAACGCCAGTCACAAACTGACCACTAGGGGCAGCAGTTGGCACAGCAACTTCTGTGTCTCTTTGTCCTAGAATCACTGCTCAACCATTGCGTCTCACATCACAGCAGATTAAACTCTTTTTCCCTCGTCTTTCCAGATTTCCTTGATGACGATGTTGAAGACGACATTGCCTGTGCCATCAAGATAATCAAGAGCATTCTGTAGGTTTTCAGTGAAGTCACACGACACTTTATCAACAGACACCGATTAAAAATTCTATACTCAGTAAAAATTAAATCTGTATATACGTAATGTGGCTTTGTGATGGATTGGCGGACCGTTCGGGGTCTGATCAGCCCCCCTTCGTCATATGAAGCTGGATTATTATGGAACTTTGATTGTTTTTGTCATTGTTTGATCGGTTTGTTTGTTTCCTCTACTGTTTCCTCCCAGTTGAAGAGGAACTCTGGCTCAATATAGTCATGAATGTCGTGTTTGTTTTCCCACAGATTGACTGGGAAAACACCAGATGACTTATTGGAACTGTAAGTGTCTTCTTTTTTTTTTATCTCCTGTAAAAAAAAACCGTTTCAAATAAAATTCCAGCAATTTTTTAAGAAGCCAAATTATTTTTCTGTTTATATATATATATACATTTATTAACATTTGGACTCATTTTGTAGAACATGTAGCCATATCTAATGGCGTAGTAGAGCTGGCTAACATTTAGTTGTTGCACCGAAAAGTGGCTAAATATTTATTTAATAAACCATAGTAAATGCAACATTTTAGGTATTTGCTTTTTTTGCTGTATATTTAAAGATTTGTCAGCCATCTTGATGGTGATGATGAAGATGGTGATGGTGACAGTGGTGATGGTAATGATGAAAGTTATGATGGAGATGATGATGATGATTTTTTTTTCAGTTAACAATGCAGTTAAAGTTCTCAGCCAGGTTCTGACCCACTGCTGTGTTTGACTCACAGGATCAAGGAAGATAAATATTTCCCTCAGGACTGCAAAGACGTGACACCTGATTACCTGATCTGTGAAATCTGATCCCTAACGAGATCTGGAATCCGATCCTGGATCTGTCTGCTTCTTGCAGCCAATCGTTTCGGCTGTGTAAATCACGAAACGGTCATGCTGGTATTTAACTGTTTGTAGCAAAAGTGTTGAATCAGGTAGAAGCTGGTGATCATCTATCATCAATATGTCTTTTTATGTTTTGTTTATTTAGATCTAAAGCATTGAAATTTGTAACAGTTTGGTTTTTTTCCTCTGGGGCAGACTTTGTGATTACTGAGCAGAATAAAGCTGATTATGCCGCAGTCACCAGCTTCTTTTTCCCTGACTTCTACCTACATTTGATCACATTTATGTTGAAGGTCCTGGGGTTTATGAAGGCCGGTGAATGTCCTGAAACTTCTGGATGGTGACGTTTGTTGTTATTGTTTGTCTTGGTGCCTAGGACCCATGGCCAGGTCGTTAGGTGGCGCTATCTGCACAACTGCAGCTTGCGGTTGGTCTAATTTCTGCTTTAAGCATAGGTGGTTGCCTACTGCTCACCTACTGGTCATTGCCATATGTGACCAGTAGGTGACGACAAAGACCATATTACCTGACAGAAGACTGTTTCCTTCACAATAAAAGCATCGTTTCTGGTGTGAACAGCTTATCATTTATATACACGTTTCATTTGTATATTTAATAAAAGTATTCGTTTTTCCTTTTTTTAATCAAACCAGGCTTACAGAACATTAAAATACATAAATGTAGATTATGCTTTAGTTTATATAAGAGGAAACTATTTTACACACATACACACGTATATGTATAAAATAATTTATATTTATTTGATCCTGACTAAAAAATTATAACAAACTCATTGTTGTTTTTTTTAAATGTTCGAAAAGAACAGCTAAAAGGTATAAATATCGAGTTTTACTTTATAAAGCGATCTTGATTTGTGCCCATTCTTGTGACGTCAAACAGGTGTGTTACAGCTGCGTGGCTCAATCGTTTCCTCAAGTCACTGCTTCACTGACATGTCACCGACATGGATAAAGAAAATGGCAGGTTTTTAGAAAGTCTTGGAGTTCCTGTTCAGAGCCCGACTACTTTGGGATTAAGTTTGACGTGTTGTTATTTTTTTTATCATTTAAATACTTTACGTTTAAGAAGAACTGACCATGCTACTGTCGGGCGGTACAGGGTTCACGGTCCTCATCATCATTTTTCCGCATGTCGCACTGACGGGTGAGAACGTTCATAAAAAAATCTTTGACCTTTGAACGAAATGTGAAACTAGATTATTTTCTGACGTGGTTTGGTTTGTAAATTCTTTTTTCATAGATATTCAAATTATTTTCACACCTAGTTCAGAATCATGCTTCATTTTCATGCTTTAAAATATTAATTTGAGCTGTTTCTTTGGCTAATGATATTTTTGGGTTTGTGGGCAACAACAACATTTTGGCCAACTCTTAGCTGTATCTCGGTGATTCTTTCGATTTCATCCTTACTTTTTTCAGTATTTGCTTCTTCTTACTAGGCTAATTATTATTGTTGTATGTTTATTATGTGACTAAATCCCATTTATTGTAAGTTTAGTCTAGCCTGTGTTGTTGTTGTTTCTTTTTCCTAGCTATATTTAACTTTCAGATAGTAAAAATACATATACATATTGTTTATGCTTTGCTCCTATTTTTTATATATACATATATATATATATATGAGGTACATTTGCATTTGTGTTTCTTTTTTAGTAATGGATATAGTATGACACATGAACACACATAAATACATACAAGTTGGACAGAAATAGCAGAAAGATGATTAGCAGAAAAATCAATATTTTAGGTTAAGAATGTTTTAAATATATACATATATACATATATATGTATATGTGTGTGTGAGTGTAGCTATATGTGTGTGTGTAGCTGACATGCCTGTTTCGTTGTCATTCTCAAATTCCTACTGTTGTTAAATTGACACTGAGAAGTTCAATCCAATCAAGTCTGACTGGTGGACTCACACATAGACGTGAAGTATTTCCTGACTCCTTACCCTAACCTTAACCATTACAAACGTATGAACAATCGAAATCCTAACCCTAATTCTAATCCCTAATCCAAGCATGAATTTTAACAACCTAAAATCCCCACACATATAGCTATACTTACAGCGTACACAGACAGGTGTGTTCTCTTTGCTCCAGTTCTTAACAATCGTGACCTTTCTGTGTCTTAGCTGGAATTCCTCCACCAACCCACGTGAATGTTAACTGCAAAAACCTGGAGACCAAAGTGAGCTGGGGTTATGATGAGCTTCTGCCTCAGACTATGTTCTCCGTGGAGATCAACAGCTCAAAAAAGTGATTTTCTTACAACCTTTTCATACTTTTTTAGCTCTTAACTTACAACAGTTGTTTTCCTACTCTGGCATATTTGTAGCTACTTGTGAGCAGTCTTTTGTATCTTCTGGCTAACTTTAAATCTATTTGTTGACAGTTATTAATTATTTGTCTTAATAAAAAGTTATTCACTTGTTATCTTAAGCAAACATCTGTCTGACTTACATCTTTAACTGGTCGATATCTGGCCAATTTTAAGTCGTCTCTGGATGATGCTGGGTTTTTGGCTAACGTTTTAGCTCCTTAAAGCAATTTTATGTTGGTCTACTTTCAGCTAATGTTTTTTTTCTTTTCTCGCTCCTGTGTTCTTGTTTTCTTAATTTTCCAGCCACCTTACTGCAGTTACCCCTGACCTTCAGTACAACCTGACCGCCTTCATCTGGCGCTCTCAGTGGAATTACCTGGATTTTTACTACGTGACAGTCACAGCGCTGCAGGGAGTAGCCACATCAGAGCCGGCTCAATCTCAGACGTTCACTTTTAACCGTATGAGGGTGGCTGACATCATCTGTGAGTAGCCATGCCATCACACATTTATCTCAGCTGTTTTTCCCACCATGCACTGCTCTCCCTCAAACATCTGTGTGCAGGTAAACTGGATTTTCCTCCGGTCAGTGTCACGGCAGACAAGTCAGGGAATACGGTCACGTTCGAGAATCCGTTAATTACCTACAGAGAACTGAATGACTCGAGGAACCTGAAAAAGGCCTTCTTCAAGTTCACAGTCTCCTCAGATCAGGTTCACTTTTCCTAAAGAATTCTCAGCTTTCACACTGGTGCTACTGAAAGTGAGCATGCTGCCGTTATCAGAGAAAACATGACCGCCAGGTAGCTTCTAGGTTATCTTTTAGCTACTTTTGCTAATCCATACATTGAAAAAATCACTGGTCTGGCCTGGTGTAGCTATCCTGCTATCCAGGAACCCTGGTCCACGGTCTGATGCAGCTGACTGTAGCACTTCTCTGTATAGTAAACAAGCCCAGTCCAATACCATCATGTACAGGGAGAATGAAGAAGTGGCTGTGTAATTGAGTGTTACCTGTTCGTTTTCAGCGTGACTACGTATCAGAGTGTGATCTGAAGAAGCAGTCCTGCAAATACGACCTGCCGTCATCCGAGGGGGCACAGGCCTGCGTCACACTGCGAGGTTGGCTGGATTATGGAAACGGTGTGGAAAACGTGGAGTTCCATCAGACCGATCGCGTTTGCACCACCGGAAGCGAGTCTGAAACCAAAGGTTATTCAAAGAATTCAAAACAAAACCATCAAAAGAATTGGAGCCACCACCGTACAGTCCTGGTGTTTTATAAGGACTATCATCATTCGGTGATATTGCAGTTTTAGCTGCAACATCTTTCAAGTCATTTTGAAAACAACCTTTGAATTTTCAATTCCAAAGTTGACTGAACTTAAGACTTAAGTGTTAACGTCCTTCTTTGCCGGAATTCAGCTTGTTATCCTAAAGCTAGTAAACCTTTAGTTTTCTTCTGCTAACATGAAACAACTCTGCGGCTACTTTTCATTGAAGTCAAATATCACTGAACGGATGTGAATCTTTCTGACTTTGCTGCTTTTCTTTTGCAGGAGCTCAGGTCTTGGCCTTGACCCTAACACTGACCTTCATACTGCTCTTCATACTCACACTCACCCCCTTCTGTGTGCTGAAGGGGTACAAGAAGAAGCCGATCCCTAAACCCAGTCGGACTGTTCTGGTAAGACAAAGTGTGCTTTTCTGACCTCACGGCAGTGAATAGTGAAGGGGGGGAGGGAGGGGGACCTGTCAGATAAACAGAATAATATATAATTTCATATCTATACACGTACATTTCTGTGTGCATTCAGTTCATGGTTTCTTCATGTAGAGGGTTGAGGAGCTGAACCCTCCTCTAATGTCAAAGGTCAGATTTCAGTTTACAAAAATCATCAGAACTTCAGGTTGGTCTTCTGTCTCTTGTCCTCAGGACGTCATGCCTCACTCTGGGCCCAGCTACCAGGCAGTGGTCAGAGAAGATTTCAACCCTGTTACCGTGGAGTCCAAACAGGTCTGCAGCAAGAACCTGGAGGACCAGAGCCTTCATGACGACGACAGTGCTGCTGAAGGAGGTGAAGGTTCCAGGAGTGGAGCTTGTGAAAACCCCAGCCAGACATTTAAGTACACAGATGGTGCAATTTTAGAAAACAGTGGTGATCAGCAGCAGGAAGACGGAGATCTGACATCCTCAGAACATGGGTCAGAACAGGAGGAACAGGAGGAGGATCAGCCAATGGAGCGCTCTCACTATGATCGAAGGCATGTGTGAATTCAGTAAATTGTCTCCTAGGATTCTGCTGTTGGAAAGGAGAACCTTGAGGAGATCCTGGGACCCAGAGGAGAGCATTTATAATGATTCTACAGTCTAATGACTGTACCACAGTTTTTACCTCAGGATTTGAAACTCCTACAGAATGTTTGTTTATTTCAGGGCTTGCGATCCTCTAATCGACACTTTCGTCAGGAGTAGACTTCGTTCTAAGATCTATTTTGCACAGAAAGCAGAGGACCTTCTATAAATGTTCTTCTCATCATCCCCAATGTTCCTTTGAAACAACAAAGTTCTCACGGCTCAGAGCTGCTGATGGACCGCTCCTCCTGCTCTGAGGGACTTGGACCGCGAAGAGAATTATCCAGCTAACAGACTTTAACAGACTAGTGAACAACAAATCCAAACTTTTTAAACTTTTTTTTTAGTTCGGACGCGAACAGCAGACGTATGGCTTATGAAGGGTGCAGTTGTTTTATGGTTGAAATTTGTATTTTTAAAAGGGCATAGTTCTACATTTTCACACCTGTTTGGTTGTTTTGAGAATTCATGCAAAGGAACTAGTTCTTGGATGAATATTCTGGTTTTGAGTCAGCAGTGGTGAAAATCCCCAACTGTCCCTTTATTATTACTGTACACAGATTTACAGAAGGAAGTAAATGAAATCTGGAGCTGGCACTCCCACACACTAAAGCAATAAGTCCTGCTAAACAGGCTGGAGATATTTTTGTCACCATCACCTCTGTCAGACTAGTTTTATTACATACAAATCATGGCATTATTGTATATATTTTTTTTAATTATTTGTTACCTCCGTACACTTGATCATTATGTTGGCTTCTATGAAAAGGGAATTTACATTTACAAGTTCTAGAAAGTGTGTTTTTCCATGGGGCAAAGGGTGGTGAGCAGTGAGAAGTCACCTTTGCTCCTTCTGCAAGAAGAAGGCCACTGTGGGGGGTGTGGCCTGCCTGTCCTCTGCTGACATCAGAGTCTGAGTGTGGGGTGTGGAGCGCCCCCCTGTGGTCTGCTAGAGCTTCAGCCCCTGCAGGTTGGCCCTGACGTTAAGCAGCTGCTTCTCCTGTCGCACTTTCTCCTCCTTGAAGGCCGTCCTGTTGGCCTTCTTCTCCGCGCGTCGCTCCTGGAGGAGAAGCCACAGACGACGGTGTTTATAAAGACGTCGTTCCTCTGAGCCTCAGTCAGATAGAGATTCTGTCATTTTTGATTTGATTGTAAATATTATTGGCCTTTTTCTTTTCCTTATTTGGCTAGTTGTTAGCTATTGTTTTGTTTTGTTCATTTAGCACTTCCATAATAAGATGTCAATTTATGCACTGCTTTTCTTTGAAAATATATTAATATATATTTTTTTATGTCTTGTATTTAGTTAGCTTACCTCAAACACTAGTGTAAAGATGGCTAATTATTGGCTTAATGTAAAATAACTCTCTTCTCTGTTTAGAGAATCTACATCTTTTTCCATTAAAGGATTTATAGAGTAATCGGAGAGTTGTTTTTTTAAACTATCGGTTCATGTTCCACCTTTGTTTGGTCCTTTTACTGATTAAATTCCTATATTCTGGCCTTTGATTTGACAAACAAAATTGATTAAAAACAAATTAACAATTCTTCAGGCAAACCTTCTCCCCTCTTTTTAAACAAAACAATTTATTTTAATTATTTTAATCTTTTTTTCTTCGCTCCACTTTTCATCTATTGTTCAGACAACACATTCTTTCAGGTTTTTTTTTTTATGATTTTGAGAAAAATGTTTAGGACTTTTGATCTTAATGTTAAGTATTTACACTATTTCAGTATTTCCGAGTCTTGTATCAACCTGTGAGCTCCTTCTCGGCCAGCTTTTAACTATTTAGCTGCATCTGAGGTAAACTGGGACCGGTATTAAGTTGGCAGACTTATTTGAACTATTATACCTGCATTACTGCCTATCTTGTAGCCCTTAATCAGCTAGCCTTGTAGCCAACTTTGGCCATCTTCAGCTATCACAATTTTGACGTCAGGCTCCAGCTCTCACCTTGCGCTCCTCTTTGATGGCCTGTTTCCTAGCTCTCCTCTCGTCACTGCTCTCGTCTTTGTGTCGAGGCAGGGTGCAGACACGGGGCAGATCGACATCATTGATCCTCGTCATTCGCTCCACCTGTTTCGCCGTGGGGCCTCTGCTGGGAAGGACGTCTAGAGGGATGCCCGTCTTGCTGGACACGTGGATCTGCTTTGGCTGAATACAGGGATTTGTGAAGACTTTTCATCTTCTATCAGTCTCAGACTCTATCCTAGTAAAATTCTACACTGCAACACATTACAAAAAGGTTTGGGGAATCTGTAACTCAGAATGACAAGGTCAAGGACCAGTAAGCTGGATTGTTTCTCTATTAGCAGCAGCTAACCAAATGGCTGTGTTTTAACTTCCTGTTCTTCCAAAACATATTTTTTCTTAAAAACTAGACATTAAAGAATGTATATCTGTCTCCATCTACAGGTGATAATACTATGTGTATTATCACCATGGTATCAGAAGAGTGTGTGCAGAGACCCAACTTCCACTCCTGCTGCTTCTGAATGTCTCTGACCCTTGGCTAAGTCAAGCCCTGAAGTCATTACAAATGGCTGAAGACATATAAAAATATAAGGTAAAACAGAGATGGCTAGATTAACTAAAGATAAAAGTAGCTAACACTATAGCTGAGTGTAGCCCGGGCAATTCTAAGGTAGCTAACATACAGGTATGAATTTGACAGAATACTCCCAGATGTTAAAACAAAAGTATGTAGATGGTAAATGCTACTTATAAATGCACTTTTCTAGTCCTGGTCACCCCTTAAATTGCTTTAACTAAAGATTTTGGCATCTAACGGGGAATGTCTAAAAACCAACTTAACCTAGAATTGAACCCATAATAACAAAGAAGTCAACAGTTAAAATGATGCAAGAGTTGAAACAAAATATTCAAAGACAACATCAGTCTGAGTTGATGATGAACAGAGAGAAAGACGTTGGACTGAGGGAAAAACAAACTCTTCTCTGTCCATCTGTTAGGAGACCCTGAGAACTCCACACCTCTGACTTTTATTGACTGTCTGTGGTCAGTGTGAGTGAGACCTCTGTTACCTTTGGTGGATCTTTGATCACTTTGGGTCTGTTGTAGATGTTAGAGTATGTGCCTGCAGGAAAAACAAAAATAAAAAAATTCACAAAAACATTCTGAGACTATCTTATATTAATTAGTTGCTTCACTTTGAGCTCTTGAATTTATCGGCACATTCTTTTCTTGCAGCAGTGTTTAAGCTATCTTTGACTTGTTAATGAGCTAAATGTTAGTTACTACTTATTTTCAACTTATTTTGCGAACTTCAGATTGTGAAAATGTTTTTCCTGTTTTGGGCAGATTTTGCCAAAACTTGAGTCATTTATCTGTTTTCTTCAGCTTACTTTAGCGTTTTCACACATTAGGAAAGCTTTAGTATTTTTCCCTTTTATTTTTCAACTCTTTTACATTATCATTTTTCTGTCTTTTAGCTTTTTCTTAGCTAACCTTAAGGTGTTTGCACTTCCCTTTTGTAGGCTCGGCCTTTTTCCAAACCTAGAGCTAACAGCCTTAGCAGTGGAGCTATAGAGCATAAAGAGATCATGGAACTAACTGATGATGGTTTCACAGTCCCACTTCTCCTCTGGAGCCTCCACGACAACCGTCTCCATCTCCTCCTCTTCCTCATCTTCATCTTCTTCCCTCACCACAGGAAGTTCTTTTGGACCCAGGTCTTCAGGCCTCAGAAAACTGAACCACAGACCATACACAGATGAGTTATAGTAGTGGTTCCAAAATTATGGCACACATTCCACTGCTGGTACAAAGAATAAAAAAGAAAAAAAGCCTGACAACAAAGTTCACTTACTCTTTCTCCTTCTGTATGAAGTAGTCTTTGATGACCTCCTCCAGACGAGCGCTGTCCGGCTGGATAAATCCCTCCAGCTCTGCGTTGTCCAGAGCACCGATCTCATCGTCGTCAAACTGTTCATAAAACTAACAACACAACAAAAGCACGGTTTTTCTCTATAGACTTTTGTCAAGTCAACCTGCCTGTGTCACATTGTTAAAGCTGAGAAGCACATGTTGAGCCAGACCTTAACTGAGCGCACTCACCTTCTCGAATCGATCGTCTAGCAGACTGAGCTGCTCATTCCTCCGCATCACTGATGACGTCATGGAGTATTCTGTGAAGCGACTCTTCGTCTCCTCGTCTGAGAACAAAAACTCCTCGCCCCGGACGTCCTCCTCACCTGACAGAGCTCCCTCTGAGTCAACATTACCCTCCTCATCGGTGTCCTCTCACTCATCATCATCATCATCATCATCATACTCATCTTTGTCCTGACTGTTTGCTCTTTCAGAGAACACACACATGAAAAAAAACACAAACAAATTTTAAGGTTACATTTCTCAACTTGAGGACATGACAAAAAAAATCTACTCTCTTTTAAAAAAATGATTCCTGTATTACAAAGTCAGGTCAAAATTTACCGACAGCTATGGACCTGCAGCTAAAATCACTAATTTTCTCTAGACTTCAGTAGTGAGCTAAAATCCCATCATCCCATTTATAGGGAGCAGTAATCCCTCTCACAAGAACAGAGGGCAATGTTTATGGTGCAGACTTTGGGGTGGGGGAGTCAGTGGGTTACAAATTTCAGTTTCTTAAAAAAAATGAAAGAACCAATGTCACTTCTTACTTTGACACTGCTGCGTTGGCCTTGATGATGAAGTCATCGTCCAGGACGTTGTTGGGGTCATCGTAGTCAAAGTCTTCGTCCAGAGCAGCCACGATGTCTGGGTCAAAGTCCAGACGGGGTCCTGGAGAAGGAAGATGAAGGAGTTGGGATTTTGTGATGTCACAAAAACAAAGAAAGTTTAGATGAAAACAGACTCAGGGCATTACAGGACTCCACCCCCACACTTTCTGTTACTACTATATACAGTTTCTGGTACTGTGATATGTAGGTGAAGCACCTGTGATATTTCAGGGGCAAACTGAGGAGGTGCTCACCTGAGATTGGAGCAGCTTTGTTCAGAAGACCCACTTCCTCTTCAAACTCTGATGCGAACACTGACGACGGCAGGCTAATGGACGATTCCTGCTTCAGATAAAAACACAAACTGTGTGAATTATTCAGCTCATGTCTGCAGCACATTGACAACATTTTATCTTTGAGGTTCTCCTACAAATCAGTGGTAAATCTGTTCTGGTCTCCTGGGTTGAGACAATCCTATCACCACACAAAAATATTCTGGATTATATTTCACAGCTCAATGTCAAAAGTACATACTGTATGAATATTTCAAAAATCACCCAAAACCATGAGTGAGGGGTCAAAAGGGAATTTTTTGTAACTATTTCAAAAGTCACCAAAAAGTCCCCGAAATGCACTAAAATGCAAGATTATGTCCTAAAACATGCTGCCAAATGAATATTTTGTGTTTAAAAGTCCAAAAAGTATTTTATATGAATATTTAAAAAATCACCCAAAACCATGAGTGAGGGGTCAAAAGGGAATTTTTTGTAACTATTTCAAAAGTCACCAAAAAGTCCCCGAAATGCACTAAAATGCAAGATTATGTCCTAAAACAAGCTGCCAAGTGAATATTTTGTGTTTAAAAGTCCAAAAAGTATTTTATATGAATATTTCAAAAATCACCCAAACCCATGAGTGAGGGGTCAAAAGGGTATGTTTTGTAAATATTTCAAAAATCACCAAAAAGTCCCCGAAATGCACTAAAATGCAAGATTATGTCCTAAAACATGCTGCCAAATGAATATTTTGTGTTTAAAAGTCCAAAAAGTATTTTATATGAATATTTCAAAAATCACCCAAACCCATGAGTGAGGGGTCAAAAGGCTATTTTTTGTAAATATTTCAAAAATCACCAAAAAGTCCCCGAAATGCACTAAAATGCAAGATTATGTCCTAAAACATGCTGCCAAGTGAATATTTTGTGTTTAAAAGTCCAAAAAGTATTTTATACTGTATGTGTTAGTACATAAACTTCATCAGTGGGTGAAAGGTGAGTTTGAACTCACAGGAATGTCTCTGCTCTCTTCAGCCTCCTGCTTCTTGTCTCCATCCTGGTCCAGGAAGTTCACAGACCGTCTACCGGCTCCAGACACAACAAGCTCTGATGGTGCTGATGCCTCCTTCAGATGCTGCAGGTAGTTATAGTCGTCATCAAAGAAAACGCCAAAGTCCCTCTGCTCCTCACGACGTTTCTCTGCCTCCACCTGGAAATGTTAGAGTTTTACCAAACATCAAATAACAACAGAATAATAAAATCTTTTTTTTTATTCAACAGACTCGTGTGCAGACACAGACTTTGGTGGCAGGCAGAAGGACATGCTGCGGAGCGTTCTCATCTGCAGCCAGGGGGTCTCTCTGACTCCTGTGGACCAGGTGAAAGGTCACCGCCTTCTTCTTTTCAATAAAACTTTTCTTCTTTCTGTAAGGCTGAAGAGGAGACAGTAGAGACAATTTTCATCTTTATGTTTACATTGTTTTGTTTTACAGCCACCTACAGTGTAACCACTGTGCCAATAAAGATCACAGACCCCTTAAGGAAGTACAATATTGAAAAATGTTTCCCTTTTACTCGTAATTGGTCTATGTTATTGTTTAGTACGAGTTATTTCTTCTTCTTTTTTTATTGTACATTTCTACATCGAGACTTACTGAACTGAGCAATGACTTGGTACTTCAAGGAGTAAGCAGCAGGGTTAACTTTGGCTATTAATAAATAACACTTTGAATTATAGACATATAACATCATATAATTCATTTATATGTCCCAGTGTTATTCTTCTTCCCATGAGACTGTTTCTTAAAGGACAGTATGGTTAGTTAGCATCGCTAGCATTGTTAGCTACGAGTAAAAGAACTCACCATGTCAGCCCTGAACTTTGACGATGTTTTTTCCGAGGTTTGTTTCAAAGAGGCCCTACAACCAAAGCACGGGTGCCTGGTGAACGATGAAAATTAAATGTAATCTAGAAACAGGTAATTATCTCACAACTCTCCTAAATGCCTACTGCTCAGCACGTTGTTTATACTGTTGCTGCCGCCGCCATCTTTGGAAGGAACCATTCTACAGCAACAGCAGATAGAAGGGGTTACAAAGAAAACTGCCATAAACACGTGACTAAAAAAATGACATGTACATATGTCTGAAAATACCTTTACAAAACATTCATCTTGAGCATTCTCGTGTTATTTTAAGCGTGAATTGTGTAGTAAAAACACTAAAAGACACTGTTCTAGTTTTCAGAAAGTGTATTGGTACATTCCAGATCACTTGGTTTTAGAATATGATGGAATATAATGTGCCAGCGTTTGCCTCTACTGCAGTTGGTGTGCACTTAGAGATTATTGTGTGTTGTGTATTTAGTTAGTTATTTGGAAAACAATTTATTAATTTATTGCAATGAATTAGTCTTTGTTCCGTCAGTGTGACAGGCAGAACAATTAAATACCTTGACGGTTGGTGTCGTGTTGGTAGTCGACAGACAAAAAAGCATGGAAACACTTCTACACATATACAAATCGTCACTGTTTTATTAGGGGAAAACAAAAATGAAAGAGAGGGCACCATGTACGTTGCTCAATCCATTAAAAAAAAAAAGACAGTTACATACCCTTTTACCCCAAAGGTTTTCACACAGTGAATTGTGAGCAATAATAAAAAAAAAGAGATTACTTATACAATTTGTGTAATATAATACGTGTTGTGGCTTAAAAGATAAACCCCTGTAACACGGTAAATAAACAAAATTAGAAAAGGAAGTTATTCGAAAAATTAATATGTAACTACATTGAATCTTGAATAAAAGAAACAGCAACACGTTTATTTAGTGGTTAGACTAAAATTTTTAAATGGATCTATGTTTGATTTAGTCACTTATAAAATAATCAGATGTTTTTTTGAAAACTTTTTATTCACACAGAGAGAAGAAAATACAAATCTTTGGTCCAAAGGTCAGTTTATAGACAAGAGCCGTCACACGTCTGTGTGATTAACAAACTTTAATAACCTGGGATGTTTTGATCACAGCTTGAGCATTTTGGATGCTGCACGTTTAAAAAAAAAGTGTTTTTTGTTCTTCCGGTGGCTCCTCCTGCTGGTGCTGCACGCTGCTCCTCACACATTCATTGACAGCATCAGGAACTGGAGGAGGAGCAAAACAGTCAGAGCTGAAGCTTGAAAACAGAAAATTATCTTTCTGGAAAATCTTTGAGTACCAGAGTCTCTTTTCTTTAATATTTTGAACAACTTTAACCCATTTTTGGTCATTTTTTTTGGTCTTGTCATATAAAGAATATGTTTAGTTAGTTAGCTAATATATATTCATAGCTTTCATTAATTCTGTTTTAGATATTTCAAATGCAAATGTTTAGCATTAACATATCTAAATTCAACTTTTGGTTTAACATTTTAATTTTGGTAACTTGATGTAGCTACCTCACCTTATTTATTATATCCTAATCTACGTTTTGGCTTGGACTGTAAAGTTCCAGATCTGTGATTGAAGCAAGCACTTTTCCGCCCTGTGTGTCCCCAGCTGGGTAGAGCGGCAGAGGGCACTGAGAGTGCCAGTAAGAGACCTTACCTGCATCATGGACATCCTGACCCGACCTCTGTTTTGCTGGTCCATGGCCTGGAAGGCTCCTGGAGACACAGAAATAGTTCCATCCAATAAACATTCAGAACCTATCTATGAAACAGTGGCAGCATCCCAGAGTTACGTACGAAACATGTTCTCTAGACGGACGATGCAGGTGAGGTAGTCGTCAAAGTCGATGTCATAGTTTTGGTCAGCGAAGCGGAGGCCGACCAACTGTAACAGCTTGTTGTTCAGTTGCATCCCTGTGATTGCACAATTATATCATTAGCATTCTACACAAAACAACAGCTAGCTATGGCTAAACTTTAGTCATTGTTGAATAAATAACTTTCACAACACTTTTTAATATATATTAGTAAAGCCTCACCTGCAGCTTTGAGGGCGCTGCGAAGCTCGTAGGATGACATTTTGCCCGAGCGGTCGGTGTCGAAGGACAAAAAGAGCATCTGCAGCAATGACAGAATTGTCAACAACAACACATTGACATGAGTCCCACATGTTAAAAATACACCATAAATATATTAACATGTGTATTGAATATCTTAATATTAAAGGTAAAGTTACATGGTAGGTTTATGCATTGCACTAGGCCCAGTTTAATATAAAGCATTCATGGGAGTGTCTGCTCTGTCGTTGCACAAGTTTGACCTTGAATAACCCTGCATTAAGCTGTTGATCCAAAAACACCTACGATCCATTTCTTCATCTTTTCCCAGAAGACCTTGAACTCCTGGAACTCCAGCATCCCTGTGTTGTCCACCTGAAGTCACCATGTCAAAGGAAAACACAGTCCAACAGCAACAGCGCAAACAGGTAATGCTGACTGTTTCCATTGTTTACATTCAATATACATATATATGCTAAATATATGAGAGATGAAGGATACGTCCATCAGGTTGATGATGCTGTGGCAGGTGCTGAGACTCAGACCTTCAAATTTAATCTCCTTACCTGAAACCAAACAGGAGATTTTATAAACCTGTGGATTAACATCTCTGGGAATAAGATAAATATAAAGACGTTTTTACTTCTTGATTATCAACAAACTTACGTCTGCTGAGGACACCGTTGAGCATCTGTTGAAGTTCTCTCACAGAAATGGCCTGGTCCTGAACACACAAAACATTAATAAAGTCTTCTCACCAAGGATGTTCAAAAATAATTGTCCAAACTTTTTTATTTTGTAATCAAAAATTGAAAATCAGTAATTTTATCTCACAGACCAAAGTCCATACACACAGGAGTTACTGGTCCAATTCTTCTGCAACCAGTTTGTGTCACTTAGTTTAATTTGCTAAAGCGGGCTAATGTTTGGCTAACATACGCAGTGCAATTTTTTTTTTTCTTACATCCCCAGCCAGTTTTTCAAACAGCCTCCTCAGATCTCTTTCCTCGTCTGTTTCCTCTTCTGGAGCGCTGGGCATTGGAGGCTGAAACAGTCGCACAACAGTCAGGAAACAGTCGCACCACTAATTGACAGACTTTCTAGCCAACTGGTTAGTAAAATAATTACTGAGTTACTGACTGACATGCCGATTGACTGATTCAATGACTAACAGACTGATTCACTGAATTATTATCTACTCACATCAGGAAGATCTGCGTCTACGTTGGTTCCCATCTCCCTAAACAAACAAAGACGGAAACAAACACGTCACTGTTCCTGTTTCCTACGGTTGAACCATATATGGTCTCAACCATCCAGTCATGAAAGTCAAACTCAGGACAGGAGAGATTGTTGGCCAGCAGAGGGCTACTCACAGCGATGGAGCTTTCTTCTCAGAGAAGATCCTGATCAGGAAGTCAGCCTCATGGTGGGGTTTGAAGGTGGTGGGAACCAGCAGGTACTTCCCAGGAGGCAGCGCAAAGCGCTCCGACACCTCCCTCATGTTGATGTAGGTCCTGCTTCGGGCTTTGGAGGCATTGTAGCGAAAGAAGTCTTTACCTTGATGATCCTCATCGTCTGGAGCCTGGAGAAATCCAAAGATGGGGTTAAGAAGGAGAGACCCACCAAACCCCTCCCTCATCATCCTCCCGCAGAGGGCCAGGTCATTTGACCTTTTGCCTGAACTGACCTGGTAGACGGCAAAGCCAATGGTCTCCAGGTCCATACCCTCCTTTCTCAGTCTTCTTCGGTTCTTCTGCATCAGAGCGATGACAACGCTACAGACGTCGTCGTCATCATCATCAGCGTCCTCCAGAAGCAGCTTAAACTGAGGGTTGGTCCAGAAGGTGTCTGGGAGAAGATCAAAGAGAATGACCTCAGCAAACTCCAACTATTTGGCTAACATCTAGTTCCATTTTAGGGATAACTGAAGCTTTCTACACTGAACTGTTTTGATGTTTTGTGATGTGTTAGCTAACCAAAACGTGTTTTATTAACTTTTGACTTTGTCCCCCATGGACCTACCAATAAAGTTCCTGCAGCCTCCAGCAGTGGAGCCACGGATCCAGTTCCCCTCAAACAGGCTAACCTCCCAGTGACGTTTGGTGTTGTCTGTAAGAGCATCGGGCGTCATGTTGCAGATCTCCACCTTGTCGTAGTTTGTCTTAAAGTCCTCAAACTCCATCCTAAATAAAATCAGAAAAGATGAAAACAACTATATTTTGGACCCTTTTGGAAACAGGTACACCGTGGAGGCCACAGCTGCTGACTGATGTCCTCACCAGAATTCCCCGTCCTCCATGGAATTCTGTAGAATTCGTTTCTTCTCAGCTTGGTCCACGTAATTCCACTCTCTGGCGCTGCAGAAGGAAACCGAAGGCAGTGGTTCAGACTCTCTGGTCTACATCAGTCATGGCCTACATACTGCTCTGGCCTGGCTTTTACACATACTTGTCACTCCAGGGTCCGTTCCACTCCACTTGACCCCAGGGGTTCCTGATCCGGATCAGCTTGACCTTCTGTCCTCTATAAGTCACCTGAATTTTAGAAGAGAACCACGACAGTCTTATTAAAGGTGGAGACCACATGACCTGAGATCTTGGAGTTGATGGATTAATCCATCCATCCATCCAATTTTTAGTCCACTTATCACCTTATGTAACTGGACCAGCAACACCTTCTATAATCAGACCCCTTCTACTACAGTCACCCCCAGCCATAATGTTAAATCTTGGTGTGATTACAGCGCCACCTTACCTCTTCCAGACCAGTAATGGAGTAGGCATGTCCCTTCACCAGTCCAGTGGTGGTTTTAGCCTCAGACTCTGCAGAACTGCTGATCTGAACAATAACAAAAACAAACCAGACTGAGAACAGAACTAAAGGCTTTTAGGCTAACTTTTAGCCATTTGGTAATTTGCAATAAAGGCTACATTTAAGCAGAATCTGAATTTCATCAGCTAACGTCTACATTTCTATGGTCTAACTTTCACTTCTTCTTCTCTGTAATTTCTTTTAAATTTTTTTTTCCCTTTCATTTCAAGGCAGGTTTAGGTAACGTGACTCTGTTAGCTAATGGTGCGCCAAGCTTCATCATTGAACTTGGCCTTTGGTGGTGAACAATTTTGATTTTGAATTTTTTTGCATATATTTTTGGTTTCTTTTTTTTAGCTGTACCTTCTTATGATATTTCTGTGTTTTTACCCAGGCAGTTTTTCATAGTTTCTAACTTTTTACTTTCACTTCTAGCTTCTAGAGTATGTGGAAAACATAACCATCTGAGCTTCTAAAAACAGACAGTTAAATCTTTTTTTTAAAAAGAAAGTAAGTACGTCAATAGAGCAGCCCATCATGGAACCTCGGTCAAGAGCTTTCTTCATGATGGCGAAGAGGTTGGATGGAGCGTTCTTGGTTTCATACGTTTCTCCCACTCCTCCGGTGAAGTCCTCCATGGCCTCCATGGTGCTGCCCCCCTTCAGAGACTCGTAGCTTCCATGCATTCTGACACCAGTGACAGAAAACGCAGAAATTAAACACACACACATTTAGTTAGTCTAACACAAACTACACAAATGCAGCAAGTTTGTTTTATTCAATAGCTGACAATGGAAAATGTCTTAGGAATATGGACATTAATATCTGTTTGGAATCATTACTTGGCGTAGGCTTTCTCTAGGAGGGCGCTCCAGAACTCGTCATTAGAGGCAGAGTGCAGCATGATGAGCTCGTTCCTCACTGACGGCAATCTGTCGTCCACCACCACATCCAGCCAGCGGTTGTGCTGCCAGAACTGAGAGAGAGACAGAGAGTCAAAACGTCAAGACAGCTGTGAAAGATTCTGACTGAGACCAATCTGGAAATTATGCTGCAGAATGTTAGAGTTTATCCATAGAGTTTAGTTCTAAGCAACTGGACTTCTTCTTTGAGCTTGAAAGCTCAAGGTCAAAGAAAAATAACATCATTATACAACATTCTCCCCCACAAACCAAATGTCATAGATCAGTTATAATAGCTCAATGGGACAGAGATACAGTTGGTCCTCTGCTGCCTCCTTTGGTCAGTTTGTGCCACTGAAGTAAATCTTAAAAGAAAGATTCCAAACAGTCTGGTCACAGAGTACTGTAACACGTTTGAAATTAGCGATGAAGGCAGCAGTGGATCGACGATTGCTCTGTCTGTGAGCTTAAATCACAGCTTTTCCCTATGAAATTTGGTGTGGGAGAGCAAGAGCTGCACAAAACTTTCCTGTTAAGAACACAAACATTTAAATCTACTCCGTGTGTTTCTGTTTCCATCAAGAAACCTCAAACCGTACCTGAAAATGGAAGATTCCAGCGTATCTATTGCCAAAGTCCTGGTCGTGGGGCACAACTCGGGCCAGTGCATCTTTCTTCAGGGTCAGGGACGCAATGGCTGCCAGGAGCCAGCAGTCTCCTGCATGTGATCGAGTTAGATAGATCAGATTGTATTGTTTTATGATTGTATTAGAGTACATTAGATTAGATCATTTGCTACTGTCATTTTCAGAGATTTGCTCATATCATCAAATGAAGCCCAAGTGTCCCAGAAGTTCTGGACACAAGGACCTAGTTCACTGAGTCCAGCAGCTTCATATCAGAGAGACAGTGTCCCACACTAACACAAGGGCAGAACTACTTTGATTCCAGATTACCAATTACCAATTAAACTCTTCTCTGATGAGAATCAAAACATTGACGGTGTTTTGTAAGTGTGTTGAACATTGAAAACTCCAGGTCAAATGACAATTTTTTCTCTTCTGTTTCCTGATTTTAGAAATGGGTGTGTTCTATTTTTGTTGTAACACAGTCAGGACAACTGCTCCTCACACCATTCATATGTCCCAGTCCCAGTCCCAGGCTCCTGCAGGTGGAGCCGCCACTCACCCAGCTGTCCCTGACAAATGTCCGTCCTGTTGGCATCTCCCACAATGAACTGCGGGTTTTGGCAGATCTCCTGCAGAGAGAAACACAACAACAGGTTGTCTGTGTTACTATTTTTTTTAAACGACAGGTGAGAGGTGTGTCCACATTCCAGGCGTTTCATTCAGCCGGAATTCCCAGTCCTTGGAAGAACACACCACACACAGGCAGCTGAAGCATGTGTCTATATGTGTGTGTTTGAAGAGACACCCTGCACAGAAATGTGGAAGAACGGTGACGACGTGAACCTGAACATCAACTGAACATCAACAGACCTCTGCCAGTAGGTGGCACTCCAGCCTAAAGAGAGCTGAAGTGGCGAGGAAAAACAGAGACGAAGGGGAGAAGAAGATAAACACAGGTTTTTAAAATGTTTCCTTTGTTCACAACGTCGAAAGACCTTTACTGAAATGCTGGACCAGATATAAACTGTCTATGTACCAGTAATGGGCCCAGGACCACTGTTTGGGCAAACCTGACAGTCACAATGACAGAGTGTGTGGACAACTCTGCTCTGTATGAGTGTTGTGTTTTGTCTTGACTAGGCTCCTACAGCAGGAACCTTCGCTGATCTTCTGTTTACACTGGACTCTGACAGAACCGGTTCTGCAGCTGCAGCTGCCTCAACACATTAGCACGCCATTAAATACGATTCAACCTGACGTTTATTTTAATTTTTTTTACACAGTCAATAAAAGTCAAGATTGTCATTTGTTCCTCAGTGTCTCAGGTAGAAAGTTCAACTCATTTACTAACTGACCCAGAGACGTGTGGACAGGTCGCATCAGTGTTCCCCCAGCAGACTGTTGTTTTCTCCATGATCACTGTTGCTAACAGAGTCATTGTTCACAGATGCCCCAGGGTTAGCCACAGCGTTAGCTACCGTTATCTGTTAATACCTGCCTTGGTTTATCCTTTGTTTCAATAATATTTTGATTGGACTTTATGGATCCAGCACTTGGGAAAACAAATTACTTTTTAGTGACAATATTCTAACAAATATACAGTATTTCTATATTTTAGCTTTTTACACACACAAGCTTGACAATGTCTTTTCAATGAGAAACGATTTTTGAACAGAACATGACGTTTGAGAGTAAATATTTATTCATTCATTATATAAGATGTCAATTTTTACCTTTTATCATTATTTTCTTTATATTCTTATATAAATTTTTCAGCTTTAATGTCATGTTGGTGAGTTTTGTTTAGACATTCTATCACTAGGTATTCAAACGATGAACGGTGGAATGTTGAGTGAGATTATTTAGTGAATAAAAAAAATTAAACAAAATGACAAAGGTAAGGCCTTATTTATATCTGTTAAAATGTGTGAGTCAAATGATTTAATGCCTTTTTGCTAATAATTGTCACAACAACCTCATTAATATGACTGATGGACAGGCTGACCCTTTGAGCTCTGACTAACTTCTGTTTTGTTAAATTTGAAAATGTATTTGTAAGGTTAATTTATGTAAGAATTAGATTTTAAAAACGGAAACCTGTCATAAATGAATCCATGAATCCAGTGAACACACTGGCCTTAAACCCTGACTCTCAGACCCCTCCTGGTCCCCTCCCCATGTGTAGACCCCCCTGCTCTTCCTCACCTCCTCTGTGTGGCACACATTTGAACATGTGTAGACCAGTCAACCTGTTTTAATAAAACCTGACTGGCCTGAAACAGAAACACTGCATGGATCCACGGCCCTGGTGTAGACCCTGTTGGGAGACCATAAACCCCAGGCTACAGGCACTGACTGGATCAGAACAGACAGAACTTCACATGAAGCTCATATAAACCCAGGATGGACATGGAACTCCAAACCCTGACTTTTGTTTGGACAAGACCGATAATCCCAGGGCCTTTTTCTTGTGTGAGCACAAACTTTACACGTCAAAAGTTCACAAGAAGCCTGCAGAGACCCTGAACCAGCAGTCCCTATAAAGAATGATGGGAAACCCAGCTGAACACGTACCGTGGGCCTTTTCCACTCAATGTTGACCGGGACACTCTGGCTGAAGAAGAGTGAAGAGTCTGTGGCAGGAAAGTCCTGGTCCTCGAAGAGAACGCCCTGCTGGAGACATTCCTGCCTGAGCTGCTCGTAGGACTTCCCATCTGACTGGGTGTCCACGGCCTGGATGGATTTGGATCCGGAGGTGCGTCCAGAGGACAGCGAGGACTCGAGCGGCATCTTCTTCTTCTTCTAATCGTCTCTTCAGACCCGAGAGCAGTGAGGTGTGATGGAGCAAGACACCTGCCCGGAGTTTCACACCCATGACTTCACAAACTGGTTCTACCTACTGATCCAGAACCACGCCTTCCTGCTCTCTCACTGTGCTCTTATCACTCTCGCCCTCTTGCGCTCTCCCTTGTTTCTTATCTGTCACTCGCTGGGCTTGGCTGCAGGAACCAGCAGGAACTCATTCCTGTCCATCTGCAAACATGTCCTTATTCACGAACTGCAATAAAGAACATAAATAAGAAGAAGAATTAAAAAGGTTTGACTGTGCCTCAGCTGATGTCCTTCTGTCTCTTCTCATTACAGTCTATGTATTTAGTGGCTGTAATGTCAAACAGACTGAAGTCAATTCAAATGTCAAAGTCCAACAGTGATTGAACTCTTACAGAAACCATAACACTCCAAACAGGTCTGTGGAGATGCAGCCTGTTAGCTAACTTTCATGAGCAGCTTTTCTGTGTGTGGTTAAAAGCTAAAAACCGTAACATTATATATGTCTATTTTTAATGAATGAAAACAAGCACTGTGTGAGTGCTAACATTCTCACTGACCACCAGAGCCCAGCAGAGGACTTAAGTCTCTGAATCACACCACGATGACAGTTGCACCCTCCCTGAAAGCTTGGGCGTGACTGCCTGCTCCACCTTTGTGACACCGGGTCCACATTCTTCACATTCCTGCAGGTTCATGGCCTATGTAAGTGTGTGGATTGCAGCCATTTTTAAAAATGACTTATAAATGGACTTAACATTTGAGTTTTGATCCTAGGCTGCAGCAGGTTTGTCACATGCAGCTCAACATTTTTCAGACTTCACAGCAGCTCTGTGGTTAAATCTCTGTGATAAGAGGTTCAGAGGTGCAGCAGCAGGTGCTTCTATGTCTGTGTAAAGTAGAGCAGAATAGTAAACACTTAAAAAAAAATCACACATCAATATTATTACTAGTATTTTTGTTACCCATGATTCACATCTGCTCAGATTATCATGGCTGAAACAATTTACCAATGTCTCCAGACAGTTTACAGAGTTTGTCGTGTGGTTTTGCCTGTGCTCGTCTTTGTCTCTGGCACCTCCCTGTGGCCGGTCTTTTTCACACACAAACAGTTTTGTCTTTGTGGACGTAGATTATCTTCTCTGTTTATTTGCTCTTCTATTGTGTACGTTTTTCTCCGTTAATGGTCTTTTTGTTTTCTGCAATTCAGTCAAAGTTTCCTGGATCATATTCTTGGATTCTTTGTTTTCATATCATTTCCAGAATTTCCAATATATATTCCAGATGCGTCCAATATATTTTTGAAGACACCAGACCAAAGGAGACACTGAAGAGTTCTTTAATACTGCCATTTAGTCACCTTTCTTTACTGTAAAAAATGGATTATTAACATCTAAATCATTTTTGAAACAGAAAGTATCAGCTTTATACAAACTAACAACAAGAAAAACGCCCCAGGATTTGCTGGTGAAAACAATTCTAAGGCTCTGTTTTTTCCTGAGCAGTTCCTGTTACCAGCAGCAGGTTACAGGCCATGAACTGGACCTTTAGCACCGTGCTGACATTTCCCGTGTACATTCCCACCAGTTCGTTGGACGAGCCATCAGCTGGCGTTCCCGAGTGAGAATTTCGAATGTCCCAGACCCGTACAGAGTTGTCCATGGATGAGGACGCCACCAAGCTGCTGTCGGGGCTGAACGACAGGCTGGTGACACTGTCTGTGTGACCCCGCAGGTCTTTGAACAACGTCCCTGAAGCTAAGTCCCACAGCTTCACTCGTTGGTCCTCGCCGGCAGAAGCTAAGTACTTCCCATTAGGGGAGAAGGCCAGTGAAAGCACCGGGCCGCGGTGGCCGGTGAAAAGGCGAACAGACGCCCCCTGCTGGGTGCTCCAAAGACGCACTGTCTTGTCTGTAGAGCCTGTGGCCAAGTAGTTGGAGTTTGGGTGGAACTTGACACAGTCAACATCTGCAAGGTGCCCGGCGTACAGTCGCAGTGAATAAGTGCGAGAGAAATTCCAGAGGCGGGCGGTCCGGTCGTGGGACCCGCTAACAAAGTAGAGGCTGCAGGGGCTGACGTCCACGTCCCACACCGGGTAGCCGTGGCCTCGGTACAGCACTGTATTCGTGAAGCTGCCCAGGTCCCAGTAGCGGATGGTGGTGTCCTCAGAGCAGGACAGGAGGCCAGAGCTGTCCGTCAGGAAGCAGGTACGATAGACGGGGCCACTGTGACCTCGCAGAGTTTTGATCTCACTGCCACAGACATCCTCATCATCCACCTGAGGACACCAAACATTTTATTACTGCTTGCTTTTGTATGAATGTCATTTCTCTAAATTCCTTACCCTAACAACCTAATGCTCAGGAAAAAAATTCTCACCTCCTCTTCCAGCACATCACAGGCCAGGTGGATCCGCGACACGTCAGCCCGGTGTGGCCTCGACTTCAGCTTTCGGGCGAGGAGGCTCCACAGTTTTACAGTGGAGCTGTCGAAGCCAGCGGCTAGCAGGCGACTGTTGGCTGACACTTCAGCCGTGTTTAGCATCTGCTCTGTGTGATGGAAGGCATAGAAACACACGGTGGTGAGTGAAGGTGGACCCTCTCTGACCCTCTTGATAGAGTCCTGCAGGGCCTCCAGTGCCGCTTTACTCTGCGGGATCCCAGCTGGAACCTCTACGCCCTCCACAGCAGCCTCCACACCATCCACTCCCGCCCAAGTGGAGGAGGTGGAGCTTGGGACAGCAGCCAATCCACCAGCACCTCCATACAGCTGATAGTCAGTGCGCCTGGTAGTGGTTACCTCCAAATGCAAGTGAGTGCTAAGAGCCCTGCAGAGGGCGCTGTTATCTTCGCTTTGCAGGTAGCGCAGCAGATAGCTGTAGGCCGCCTCAGACAGATGTACCACGTATTTGTGCTCCAGAAAAGCACTCAGCCTGGGATTGGCTGCAACATCCTGAGTGGTGAGGACGTGGCGCAGCTGCTCCACAGTGGCACGCTGCTCAGTGTCCTGAAGGAAGGAGGAGTGGAAACGACTGTAGAATCCATCTACTGCCCCCTTGAGGCCACAACGTACCATGTCCAGGTGGAGGTAGACAAAAAGCGGGTACAGAATGCTGCTCACCTCCTTAGCCCAGGGAATATCTGTTTCTGAAGTATAGAAAATTCATAACACTTAATCTCATTTTAATCCAGAATCTCAGTCGCTCAGATGTTCCTGAATTATTCTGTTCAATATTTTTCAGTGATGATACCTGAGAGGAAGGAGCGCAGTCTGGAGAACTGTGTCTCATACTGCAGTGGGTCAGCCTGACAAGGGGCAGCAGAGACAATGTTGGTACAGCCAGACTCTGTCTGGACTGTTGACAGAACCGGAACCACAGGGAACCAAAAAGGACAAAAAGGCACACAAAAAAGTAATTTTAGTTCAAAAATAATTCCCTAATGAAACATCCAAGCTTTAAACAAGCATAGCGATAGCTAAGAACGCTCAAAAAAAAAAAAATAAAAGCCTTAATTTCACAAAGGGAACGCCTTAGGGATTAATATATCTGGACACTACTGGAAATAGTTTGAGTTATGAACAGAACCAGAAGCACATTTTTTTTTCACATTTTTTAATACATGAAATAAAAGCAGGATGTCACTGGGTTATATTTTCACTTTGCGATTACTATGATTAGTGCTGCAACAAGGGGGAAATAATTAAAACTATACATTTGGTTTAAAAAATTAACTAGCAGTGTAAATGTAAACACATTTGTAGATAAGTCACCTGTTAGGCTGGCTGCCATCTCTTCAGCCGACTGGTAGAGTTTGGATCCCTTCAGGGAGCTGTCTGTGTCCACATACTGCCGCCTCTTCAGGTACTGAGCCACAGTGTATTGGATCTGCTCTGTGCGTACTCGCTTCATGTCCTGGAAAAAAGAGAGAGACAAGTAAAAACCTGTACATCTGAGATGTCTCAGAACAGTTAATAAACCTGCGCATGACTTTAGCACGACTAATTGATTCCAAGGTGGCGCTACAGATGTTGCAGGAGTTCCCTGATTAATCAGTCAGCAAAAGTATCTTCAGTATTTTATTTCTCCTGATTGTTAAGACATTTGTATCTTAGACTAATTTACTCTTTTTGTATTAACTTACAACCAATTTACTGGTAAAATTAATAGTGCAGCTCTTTATAGATCTCCGCAACCACAATAAATTACTTTGTCCATTTCTTATATACAGTCATGATAACACCACATAGTGTGATCATATATATATATATATATAGTTTATATAAGTAAAATTGCTTAAATTACAATAGCAGCAGTTTATTCTGGCCTGAACCTAAATTAAAACTTCGAAAAAACAGTTAAGCGTTGGCTGAGCTAAGAGTTAGCTTAGCATCTGCACTATTCCCCTAGCCCAGACCCGCAACGCTGACCGAAAAACCGTTACTTACTGCATGTCTTTCGATTTCTTAAGGTAATGTTTGACAGATATTGTCTGGGTTTATTTGCAATAAATACCCAGATGTAGATATCTCGCTTTGCCCTCTTTGCTAGTCAGTTCACGTCCTCGTTGCTTTCCGTCCGCTACCTACCATCTTCGATCAACCAGGTCTGTGATCCTCTACTTTAGTCTGCGCCCGTCTTTCGTCATTAAACGAGACTGTTTTCAAAAGTCCACTAACTACATGGTCTATGGTGTCAAATTTCACTAAACATATACAATTATACATGCCAATTGCTAACGACACGTAAAACGTATTTTTTTTAATTTGATAGTACCTTTTTTAAATATCCTTATTTATTTCTCATCCTACCTGGCTCAAAGTTTACCGGCTCTGGTGTCTTCTACTTTTGTCTTTTAAAACTATCGACATTTCGCTGCACTTATTCGCTTATATCTCCAGCAAAACCTCTTTAAAAATCCTCAAGATTAAGGAGTACACATAAAAATTTGGCCAAAATAATTTTTAAAAAATTGCCTCTCTAATTAGTTCATGTTCATGACGATTTTTAATGTGGGTAAATCGGAGGGACAGTGACGTCATTTTAAGGCGCCTGCATCGCGCGTTATTCGGAGGCTTATATTCAGTGGTTGGTCCTTCTCCTCCTCTTTAAGTAATACTTTTTCATAGTCCTTGTTTTTTTTCCCGGTTTAGTTTCTGTTGTTACAGCATGTTCAGTCCCCGCACCGTCGCGGGCTCGGGCCGCCGGCAGCAGAACCGGACTCCTGTCAGAAAGAACGCATATGGAACCGCTGGCAGTCTGCTGTTTACCCCGAGGTCGAGGAACCTATCCGCTAGGTAAGAGAACCCTAAAACATTTCCTGATTTGGGCCAATTTCAAGTTTGAGTGGACACTGAGTTGTCCATTTGTCAAACAGGTGACACACTCCTTCACTCAGACCTGGTCTTCTTAAAGTTTCCTTAAATTCATACTACATTTATCCAGGTCCCAATCCAGAACCAGAACAATCAAAAGTCTTAATGTACAACAACATGACCCACGTTTAATTGTATTTCCGTCTCTGCTCTCTCCCAGGTCTACACCCACCAGGGGGCAGAGCCATGTTGGAGAGACTGTCAACTACGACGTCCAGACGTTTGGTTCTTCGCTGCCTGTCAAAGTGATGGAGGCGCTGACCATGGCTGAAGGTAGCTGTAAAAAGGACGACAGTTACAGTTTATGTTCTGTCAGTTATAAAAAAATCGGTCCTTTGGTAAAAAACAATACGACAATTTAAAAAAATTATGAAAGCGCTTTAGCTTCTGGCTGAGAATTTCTATGATTTCTTTTGAGCTGTTGTTGCTTTTTTTCTGCTTCCTGCAGCTGATGAACAGATTTCAGTGAAGGTGATAGAGAGTGGCTGGGCCTGGATGGTTTGTGGAGAGAGACTGATCATCTGGAAGATCAGCCAGACTGCTGTGGCCAAGGTAGGACCAAACCCAGGAATTCACCAAGATATCTTCAGAGAGAAAAGAAAATCAATGATTTTAGCTTCCACTCCCAAGTACATGAAGATATTAGGTCAGAGACCAAAGACTACACTGAGAATCAGTGATTTGTTCAATACGTTTGGGTTCATGGCAGTACTATTTATGGAAGAAGAAGAGTCATTTTCATATAGTGAAGTGGACTCTGACAGAAAATATCCTTAACTCCACCTTTCCTTTTTTACCACAGCTGTCTGTGTGTAAAGAGCTTCAGCTGCCTCCCAGTGAGCACAGCTACTATGCCGACCTGCTGGACATCACATCCTCTTCCCCTTTGGAGTCTGCCGCCCTTCAGTCCGTCTGTATCCTGGTGGTTTCTGCAGAAGGACGGGCACGTTTCTGGCCCAACCTGGCTCAGGAAGGAAACTACAGTGAAACAGACTTAGACCTGGGAGAGTTCTGTAACTCTGTGGTTACTGTCAGAGTGAGTCCTTCTAACCAAACCAGGAATTAGTTTCATATATTTACCCAGTGTTTTATTCACCAGATTACCTTACTAGACATTTTTGACAAACTTTTTCTTTTAATGTGTCCTAAGGGATAGTATTTTTCAAAGAATCACCAAAATAACTAAAAGATGCTGTTGGTAAAATACACTGGATCTCATGTTATTTAACCATTATATTTAGAATCATCCAAAACTACCAAAAATAAACATAAGAAAAAAGTTATTTAAAAACATCTGTAAATTCATTACTTTTTTTTAGCAAACACAGGTAATGTTAAGTCTCCCTTTTTTAGATAAACATAAATCAAAATGAGCCACTATAGCTACATCAACCGATTGTGCTAATGTGGCTAAAAGTCAAGAATCAGATTGGACAGCCATTTGATAAACAATAAGCACAAAAGCATTATGCTAAAGTTAGAAAGTATTTGCTGTATTTGTCTTTGTAATTTTTTGGTAATTTTTTTTCAGGGTGGCAGCTTCATTGTGTCCTCGCTCAGGAACCGTCTGCTCAGAGCCAGTGTCGACTCGGCAGGAAAGCTGCATTTCCGAGAACTGGTGCAGGGTCAGGGCGTGCTGTCTGGAATAGGACGCCGTGTCTCTAGCCTTTTTGGCACCTTTCTTTCACCCCCGGCCAATGAGACTGTAAGAGAATATCCAAAGAGTGTTAAATGATATTTTAGTTAGTAGTATGTGTTATAATCGAAGTCGAAGATAACAAGTTAGAAAACAAAGCAAATAATCAAATATTAAACTTAGATATTTTTAATATTAGCTAAAAGCGTTGGCTATAAATACATCTCCAGTTAGTTTCTACTGTAAATCCATGTTGATGAAAGAAGACCATCCACACCATGCTCTGTTTTGTCATGTGACTGCAGCTGCACAGTGTCCTGTGGGTGGGCGGAGCCAGCTGCCTTTACACACTAACCAGCTCTGGTCTAAACAAATGGGAGCTGGATGACACCTGGGAGCAGCATGTCCTGCGCTGGGACACTCAAAGAGCTCTGACTGAGAGCATTGCAGATGCCATATGGGTCAGTGTGAGCGCCCTCTGTGATAGACAAAGCAAAAAATGAAATAATAAAATGCTGTTTACTGAATCTTTGGTCTTATCATAATACCGTTCCTTCCCATGTTTCCATGAATTTTGCTGATTTTTCATCTTCTGACTCAACCCCAGGGCTCTGACAGTAACTACGAGGAGATGAAGGAGGGGGCAAATGTGGCTTATCTGGACATGAAGCTTAGCCAGTGAGTGTGTGTTCTGCTTTTTGTGTCTATGTGTGTGTCTGTACCAGGAGTTTACCCACAGTGTTTCCACAGGTGTGGTCTGGTGGTGTTGGCTGCAGCATGGAATCCCTCAGACTCTCCATGTCTGGCTTATTTCTGCCTGGTGACCCTGCAGGACAACGGAGCAGCCATCTCTGACCTCTTCACTGTGGAGGTCACAAAGTTCAACCCTCCATTCCAGGTCAATCCTCACCCCAAACCTGATCCAGACCATGATCCCAGCCTTAATCCTGATCTAATCCGGCCTTTACCATTACTGCAACTTTTTCAAAACTAGGAAACATCAGAATGTTATGTTTATATATTGCAATATGTTTGAAAACATGTTTCTATTGCTCTACATTCTTTGTTCCTAACCAGCAATGCAAATCTAACAATGTTTTTACCTTATTTTTTGTGTCGTCAGAGTGAAGAAGCTCTGCACGCCACACGGTTGGTGCTGCCGTCGTCTCCTGGCTCCACTGCTTACATCTACACTGAGGAGCTGGTGTTCGCCTGCTCGACAGGAACCAACAGGGCGGCGCTGCCTGAGGAGAAAATCACCTTCAGCTCTCCTGGTAAGAAGCTCCACCTCTGAGGTCTGTTCTCAGAATGGGGATTAGGTAAAGTTTTGGATGAAACCACACCAACAATTGCCCATTTGTAGAAGTAGATTTATTTATTTGTATTGCACATACACACACACGCTTTTGTACCATGTTACAAATCAGGAAACCAGTAGAAGGGGCGGTGGAATTTTAAGTGTTGTCTCTACGCATCACAATTTTATCCAAGGTGGGATTTGAACCAGCTCACTATCCACTGGATTAGAACATGGACTTAAGGGGAGGCAACTGAAGTCTGGCCAGAGAGTGGAGCTAATTTAGTCAAAAATAGAAATCGTTCTTTCCAGTGTGTGGACCAGTTTGTCACTTTTCTAAGGACGTTGTTGCAGATCTCAGGGACACTTCACTTCTATTGTTGTTCAGTGAAGTCACAGATTTGACACAGTGAGGACAAATACACCTCACACCACTTCTGGAAACAGGATGGGTGAGTTGAGTGACGCTGAATTAGAAGGCTGATTAATCCAGCTCAGTTGGTTTGATTGACACGGCAGATGATTAGTGGGGCGGAGTTTTTACCGCCATCATTAAACCAAGGACTGAAAAGTGGGTAGAGCTTGTCAGTAAAACTGCAGCTGGTAAAAGAGTAGATGAGAACTGCAGCATCAACGTCATAAAAGGAGACCAGACCCGTGTCATAATCCACAAACACCCCCACCCTCTCGGGGGGAGACACCAGAGGGAGGCTCACTGGTGGATTATCACAAGCAATGTACTTTCCATGTCTGAGTCCAGTGGTCCAGTAACCATATTGAGGTATGAGTGTAAGCTCCCCCTTTCTGTTGATGGACTCCCTGGCCACTCCCAAAACCCAGTCGGTTTTCCCTTTGACCTGGACCTCAAAGTAAAACCTGCCAGAAGAGAAACTCTGTGTCGCTAAGACACAGGGATGATGGGAGAACCTCTCGGGAATGTCCAACAGATTCTTCCTCACAGCAGTGAAGTGAACTAGTTTCCTGTCCTCTGACAGGACCAGTTGTTGTTGGGCTGTGTTGGGATCAAGAGTCACGTCCACCTCAAACTGCTGCATCCTACTTAAGATCCCCTTCTTCAGCGCCGTCATCTGCTCCTTCAGAAACTCCTCCAGCTGATCCACTGCTCTCATCACAGTCCCCTCGTAGGATGGTGGTTGGAACCTGACCGTTGTCCACTTCCTGGTGCACAGAGCATCTTTTTTTTTGGATGAGAAATTGCGATGATAATCCACCTCAGTGATCATCTTCACCATCTCAGTGATCTCATCTTCTAGCTCTGTGATGACATTATTGGCCTGTTTCTCCGCCGCAGTCTGCCTGTCTTGGACCTCCTTGATGAACTGGTTCAGACCTCTGTCCACAGAGTCCTTCAGAGTGGTGAAGACCTGAACACCTTCTGTTATCTCTCTGTCTGCTTCAACCTGACTCATCTTCATGGAGTGTTTGATCTCATCAATCTTCTGTAATCTGTCCTGGGTCATCTCCTGAATTTCCTCGTTTGACGTCTTTGTGTCAGGAGGAGCCTCGTATCTGAACTGAGAGATCATTTGAGAGATCAAACAGTTGACCTTCAGATGAGGTCTGGTGCTGAAGACCTCTTTACACATGGGGCAGTTCAGATTTCTGCTGATGTTCCAGTGTTTAGTGATGCATTTTTTGCAGAAGTTGTGTCCACACGGTGTGGAAACTGGATCAGTGAAGACGCTTAGGCAGATGGAGCACAGGAAGTGGTCTTCAGATTTCAGGTTGGCACCAGGAGCAGCCATGTTGAAGCACTGAGAGCAACAGACAGAGAGTTAGAAACCCAGGCGGTCAGAATTAGAATTTCTTCAGTCACTCCAAAGTCTGACAGAAGTCTGACAAAGCTGGAAGAAGAGCAAGAGTTAGAAATCGACTCTTGCTCGATAGTTTGGGGGGGGGGGAGAGACCTCAGCAGAGTTGAGGATTCAGGAGCGCTGGAATGTGAAGTGACAGCAAATTGACATAAACATAACAGTGAGAGTTTTGAGTCGGAAAGAAGGTTGTTTTTGTGGGAATGGTTACAGAAACTAAGTAGCTGAGACTTTAGACACTGACCTTTAGACTTCAGAATCCGTCAGACACAATCCAGGATCAGTCCTGATCACAGTCCTGCTGCTGCTGCTGCTGCTGTTCTAATGACAGACTAGCAGAAAACTTTAACCTGGAGGTTAACTAGAGTAATTAGCCCAGTCTAAAACCTGTTTTTCCTCCCGACGTCAGCGATGACTGTGTCTGTGCCTCATACAGGACATTTTTTTTCCTGTTATTTCTAATCATGACCTGAATTCACTGTTAGGAAACATGAAACAAGCTTTTATTAAACCACTCTTTCTTACACCGATAGAGAAAATGAGAACCACTAAATAAAAACCACCAATAAACCACTGATTTTCTCTGTGCATTTTTGGAAGAGGTAGCGATTTACAAGTTTTACCAGTAAGACAAAGTCTTAGTGAAGCGACATTACTGCTCGTCTACCAAAATTGCTTAGTCCATAAAATCATGAGTTTGTATTTGTTCAATCCTTCAGAATCCCATCTGCAGGATTCAATAGAAGGCCCTGAACCATGACCAAGTACATCTGTTTTCAAAGTTTTTTTTTTTTTATCGTTCAGGAGATGGTGTTCGGGGCGGAGGCTGCTGTGCCAACCTGCCAGTGTTTTTCTCTCAGAACAGCGGGCTGGTAGCGGTGGTGGCTCGGGAGAGCGCTTCCATCCTGCCAGAGACCATGGAGGACTCACTCTGCTCCTGTCTGGCTGCAACACCAGAGGTGAGTGGGCACTGATACTGACACCTTCAGTGCAGGCACAAATACAGTAGGTTTGCTAAAGAATCCTGGACTCAATCTTTAGGTTTCAGCGATGGAGACTGGGAGCAGAGCTGAGGCTGTGGCTCAGGACGACAAAACCAAACTCCTGAAGGCAGCGTTTCTCCAGTTCTGTCGGTAAGAGAAGATCCTCAGCGCCCTCATGTGTCTGTCTGTCTGATAGTACAAGGAACTGCTGTCAACACAGCAACAAGAACCAAGAGATGGGGACTTTTACTGGGACATATTTGGATGTCCAGGTCTCGTTGGCAAGTGGAACTTTCATCTCAATCCTGTGCTTTGTTAGGAATGACCTGGTGGGGGCGCAGACGCTGACAGATGAGCTTTTTCCTGTTGATGGTGAGGGGGCAGAGCTGGACTCCACTGTAGTCCAGATCGACCTGGATCTGGTGGACGATTACCCAGCATCTGACCCCCGCTGGGCTGAATCGGTTCCTGACGGTAAGAAGAGTTTTGTTTTTTTTCTCTTTTACTGCCGGGTCTGAAGGTTCAATGGCCTTGGTGACTTTTATTTACACCATAATTATTGCTGCTTTTTTTCCATCTAATGACTGTTATTTTATTTATTTATTTATTTTACCTTTTAGTTGTTGCTTTTTAGTTTGTATTGCTATGTTTTAGCTCTGTTTTAGCATATTTTGACCTATCCCCACTGTTACTAGGCTAACCTTTACCTGTGACCTGTTGTGCATTAGAAAATGATGCAAATTTTTCTTCCAGTAAGTAGCTGATTGTTTACTGACCTTTAAAATGTCTCTGGGCTTTTCTTACTGTCGCAGAGAGCGTTGGTTTTCCCCTCACGTCCCTCATCATCCTCCACCAGCTGGAAGACAAGATGAAGGCTCACGGCTGCTTCATGGACTTCCTACTCCAGGTACATGGTCTGCTGGCACTGTAAAGGAGATAAATTGTGAACAGTGTTAGTATATCGTAATTTCACAAGAGATGGACGGACAGGTGGCGCTGCAGACCTTTTTACTTTACATTAAAAAGGATGGAAGGAAAGTGAACTCCTTGTCATTGTGACACAGCACACCACTGACCACAACCAAATGTGACCTCTGTTTTTAACCCATCACCAAAGTGAACAGTGGGCAGCAGGGGGGAGCAGTGTGTGGGGACGGAGCCATGCTCAGAGCACCTCAGTGGTAACAGCTTGTGGACTCAAACCTCAACTCAAGTCCGCTTCCTTAACCACTAAGCCACCATTTTACTAAAAAGTAAAAATGGCAAAAAAAAAGAGAACATTAGCTAAATCTTTTACCAGTGTTTTTTAACAACAAGGCTCACAGTTTTGTTATGGGAAAATGTTGTATACTTAGCTGATAAAAAAAAAAAAAAACCCAAAACAATTCTATTGTGAAACCTTATGTGAACATTTTTTGTTGTGTTGCATCAGGTGGGGCTCCTGGAGCGTCTGGGCCAGGTAACGGTGCGTTCCTCTCCCATGGCGACCCGTCTTCTGCTGTGTGAACACGCTGAGAAGCTGCAGGCTGCCATGGCGCTGAAGAACCACCACGCCAAGAACACAGAGCTCGTCACCCGCACCATCAGTAAGGCTCTGCAGCAGAGTAACACGCCCGTGCCTCCCAGCCTCACTGCTGCCGACGTCTTCTTCAGAGAGGTCCTACCGGTTCTTTGGTTTTAGAAAGGTGGACTGGAGTGGTCAGGTTCTCTTCACCTTCTCTGTTTCCTCCTCAGGTGTCTCAGATTTCATCGGCACTGGAATGTCTCCTGGAGGAGGAGGAGCGCAGCCTGAAGGAGAACCAGGTGAACTCCGTCCAATGGGCCGAGACTGTTCTCGCCGTCAATAACATCATCAAGGTAAAGCATGAGGCTAAAAGTTAGCCAGAAGGTGGCAGTATATTAGGAGATGCACCTTTAAATTAAACTTTAGCTCTTTGTAATAAGATTGGACCAGTACCAAATATAACAGGTATGGCCATCATAGAACACTGAGGTCTGAATCTGTGTTTTTGTCTCTGTCCCTCTGTCTGTTTCTGTGGGCCTGTGTGTGTAGGACATGCTCCAGGCAGCAGGACAGTACCGAGAGACTAAAGCGTCCTTGTACAGATGTGTTGAGGACACTGCAACGGAGCCAGAGTTTGTTCCGTGGACAGGTGACTTCACTGATCTTGACCTGCGCTTTGAACCCCCTCCTCATCAATGAAATAAAAAAAAAACCCAATAAGTGATGATGGCTAAATAACCAGCAATCAAACCCTTGACCTTTCTTTCACCCTCCAGCGTCTACTGCTGTTCGCAGCGTCATTTCCCGCCAACACGACATCATCCTGCACTCTGTGTACCCCCACGCCGACTCGTCTCTACGTGGCGTTCTTTGTGAGCAGCTGGTGGCGCTGTTGGACATCTACCTGGGAGGATACGTGGCTCAGTTGACTTCTTTGCAGCAGCAGCGCCCTCCGCTGGCCCAGCAGGATCGCTATAGCAGCCTGGAGATGGAGTACATCCAACGGCGCTCGGAGCTTCTGCACCCGCTAAGTAAGCGACATCACATTCCGTCGTCACAACTTTCCACAAACTCCCGTACACTCATGCTGAGCGGCTTCGTGTTGGCTGTGTGTTACAGTGGAACTGGGTCAGTACCAGTGGGCTGCCACTCTGGCAGAGAAGTACTGTGACTTTGACATCCTGGTCCAGATGTGTGAGCAGACAGAAAACCAGAGCCGTCTGCAGCTCTACATGAACAAGTTCTCCCAGCAGGTATTGAACTGCAACAGGTTTCACTAAATCTGGGTCACAGAAACCTCCTAATGACCTTTGCTCTGGTCCAGGTCAGGTACTGGTCCAGTCTCGTTTAGCTTGATTCAGTCTTGGTCTCATGTGAAAATAAATGACAATAAAATTAATAAATTGGATTAAATCATAAAATAGTAATATAAAGCTCTCTAAATTTTAAATAAAGGTTCTTGGTGTTGTTCCTTCTTCCTGCGCAGAACTTTTCTGACTTCCTTTTCCGCTGGTACATGGAGAAGGGGAAACGAGGGAAGCTTCTGTCTCAGCCTGCAGCTCAGCATCAGCAGCTGGCCTCCTTCCTGCAGTCTCACCAGCACCTAAGCTGGCTGCACCACATCCATGTGCACGACTATGCCAGTGTATGATGCGCACACACAAACACACACACAGTGTACATGATAATGTCATGTGTATATTAAAAGAAAGGCAGAAATAGTCAGTCATTGTACCACGGTCAAAAGTGAAAATCTTTAGAGGTTGATCCTTTAAAAAACAGCATGAAAAGCTTAAGATTAGACCAACATAAAAAGCTAATCATTTAAAAGACAGCTAAAGCAGTAAAAACTGCTAAGAGTTATAGTTAAAAATGATTAAAAAACAGCTACCAATTATCCAGTGAATCATCGGCTAGTGGTTAAAAAACACAGCTAATAGTTTGCGACACAGAGCTAAAATGAAGGTAAGGGTAGTGTTATTAAAAAACCAGACGGGTGTACCTACTCTGTGCCTGTTCCTGACTTTGTCGTGGTTGTTCACAGGCTCACAAGACGCTGTACAGTCAGACCAACATGGAGACACGTTACTTCGTGAAGAAGAAGACTCTGCTGGCTCTGAGCAAACTCACAGCCCTGGCCTCAGACCTGCCACAAGACGAGATCCACAAACAAGTCCACGGTACTGTCCTGATTAGCTTCAGTCTATGACATTGAGGAAGTCCGTTCACTGCCTTTATTCACACTCTGAACTACTGACTCTACCTGTACCAAAGCTCATAGAAAACCCCCTGATTTTAGCTTCCACACCAAATCTCATAGGGAGAATTCTTGATTTTAGCTCACAGGGACACTGGTGCTGTCATTCACTGGTTTATAAACATGGGCTTCAGCCTGCCTGTGTCTGACAGGTGACTAGCACAACAGCACCCCCCCGATTGTGGCTATGTTTTGTCTTCACGCAGAAATGGTGGAGCAGGAGCGTTTCCTGCTGCACCAGGAGACTCTGCCCCGACAGCTGCTGCAGGATAAACAGCAGAATCCTGACAACATGCCTCTGCTCAGTGCTCACAACCTCATCCAGGTCAATACACACACGCACACACGTGTCAAAGTCACTTGTGAGAATGCTTAAGGTAAACGGTCTTTTTCTCTGCAGCTCTACATCTGTGACGACAACAGAGGAGCCAATGAGTATGACTATAAGAAAGCCCTGGACCTCCTGGAGTATGTGGAACAGGTCAGGCTGTGTCTGAGAGACATCCTCTCCGTCCGTGATGCTGCAGAGACATCATCCTGAATGGTTCCTTTTTTTCCCCACTGTTTTTGCTGCAGGAGGACCAGGTGGACGTCCAGGCTCTGAAGTGTGACATTTTCAGCAAAGCTCTGAGGAGAGACGAGTGAGGCACCGATAATCATCGTTCTCTTTCACTTCTCCTCCCTCCCAGATTATTCATCTTTTTTTCCCCCCTTTGTCTCAGCTGGTCGACGGCCGATGGAAATGACGACCCTCTGGATGCAGCCAAGGACAGTGTCTTCGTCAAGATCCTCCTCAAACTGATACAGGAAGGTGAGAGACCAGCTGGACCATCAGTCAAAAGTCAAATACTGTGTGGAGGTTTTGGGCTGGTTCCTTTATTTTCTATTTATCTCCTTTTATTTGCAGCATTATTATTAGTATTTAAAGTAAGTGTAAAGTCATTTTCAGCATTTTTAGTTTCCATCCTAGGCTCTGGGGACATTTTATTTATGTGTAAAATCTAAACATGTTTTTTTTTTTTTTTTGCCCTGCCCCTGGAGGCTAAAGGTGGGGCCACCTCCTAGTGGTTGGGTAACATATTCTCTGTCTTAAACACGTCCAACAATCTGGCTGCAAACATTCTTTTTGTTTACTGCTGTCATAGAGATAGTGACTGTATTCTCCTGCCTAAAACGTTTGAACAGTACTGGGGGGGAGGGTGTAACTCAGTAGGCAGTGCAGCCAGAGGGTTGTGGGATTGATTCCAAATTTGGGAGTTGACATGTAGTTCCCCCCCCCTCCCCCCCCGGAGACAGCAGGTCAGTGGACAATCCTGATTAGTCATCAGGGCGAGTCAAACACGGTGTAAGAGAGCTGGTAGTACTACAGTAGTCATTTTAGTTTCATTCAGTATCAGTGTCCGAAGTCCTGGATAGTTCTTCTTTGGTAACTCAGTTGCCTCAGTTGCAATTGTTGCCTTGAGTCCAGGCCTCGGTTCTTTCTCCTAGTTCTGAACTTGGTCTCAGGATATCTTGGATAAAGTTGGTTGTCAGGTCACATGATCATTTCAGCTTGAGTCAGCTGACATCTCTTCTGTTTTTAGTTCACTCAGATGTTTTCAGTGGAACTGCAGCAGGGTTCCTTTAATCCCAGCCGACAGGACAGTGTGCTCAGGCTTTTCGAAACAGCACTATGTGGTTCACAGCAGCAGAGGCCATCTTCTCTCTCCTGTCCTACTCTCTGTGACCACCCTCTTGTCGTTCCTCAGGTGTTCCTCTGCAGACCTACCTGCCCGATGTCACAGATCTGCTGGACTCCGACGACCTCAGCTCATTAAAAACCAAACCCTACTTTGAGTTTGTCCTTCGAGCCAATTACGAACATTTCCTTCAAGCTCAAATGTGACCGGCGACGTGATCGACGTCTTCAGCTTCTTTCTTCCCCATGTGACTTTTTCTAAATAAAGGTGTTTCATGTTTACGTTCTATGACTTTTTACAATTTGTACAAAAAGCTAAAAGGGAGAAAATGGACTCAGACAGTAAAACCCACCTTAGCCTTGAGCATTACTTCTCAAATAGTGGGGCAGGCCCCCCTAGGGGGCGCAGTGAGGTGCGGGGGTGGGGTGGGGGGTGAGGGGCTTCCAATGTAATATGGACATACAGTAAGTGTACCACTGCTGTAATGCTTGAATAATAACAAGCCTCCAGTCACTAGGTGGCAGCAACTCATACAGTGGTTTGTACAGAAAAAAATATACGTTATCAGGTTCTCAATAGTATTTCAATTTGCGGGGTGTGGACCAGGAGGGTGAAAACATTTCTGTCCACAAGGGGGGGCATGACAGAAAATAATTGAGAACTACTGGCGTAGACCAATGACATCATCAAATCCATTCACTTCTTTGCTTTACCACCAGCTTTTTACTATAGTGTGTGAACCACTCATTCTACCACACCAAAGTCCATAGAGAACATCAGTGATTTAAGTGCACAGATACACGGGAGCTGCCACCTCCTGTGGTCAATCTGTGTTACTGAGGTAAATCTGAACAAAGGACTTTAAACAACCAAGTGACCAAATAACACATTTGGGTGACAGCTGCCGGAAAAGCTAAAAATAGACAAAGGGTTTAAAACTGACCAGACAAATAACTCTGTAGTAGCAGAACAACCACAGTCAGTAAAGTAATGTTAACAAAATGTTCACATCCACTAAGTAGCATTAAAACACAAAAACTGCCAACGTGGTGACACTATCCAACCAAAAAATGACAAAACAAAACCAACAACAACAACAGAAAAATCACAAAAAACTTCAAAGCAGAGACACAAGAATGTCGCAAAAACAGAAATGCTGCAGACATGAGTTGACCAAAGTCGAACTTTAACCTTCAGAAAATGTGGGACTTTATATTTAGAGCCCATAAACCTTTTAATAAACACACCACGTGCTTGTGTTCTGTGTGTGTGTGTGTGTGTGTGTCAGGTGTCCATAAAGGGGTCAGTGGGTTTATAATTAGGTGTGTGTGTTGGGAGGAGGGGGTTAAACAGGAGGGTCTGCTGTAGGTGATTCAGAGAAACTGTCCTGACTTAAAGATAAACATGACTGATGTCACTGTGACAACTGCGCTGTGTGAAAGACTGACACTCAGAAGAGTCAGCTCACTGGAGGATTCTGGGATATACTGGACCGTGTGGACTACACCTCGTCGGGTCAAACGTCACATTTTCTCAACAAGTGCATTTATAAGCCCAACAATGTGGGACAGACCCACATATGTGGTCTGTTTGAAAACATCCAAGAAAACTTTTGAGTTTGTTCTGGTTTAAGTCAGAGCAGATACCAGAACTGGTCCTGATAAAACGAGACACACGTGTGTGTGTGTTTCATACGTCCCAACGTCTTTGTGTATCTGGCTATATTTATGTACATATTTATAGACATATACATACATGTTTATATATGTATTTCCTAGTGGGTCCGAGTGTGAACGCGCATGCGTGTGGCCGTCTCTGTGTGTCTCGCTCCTTACACGTCCTCGCGCAGCTTCCTCTCCATATTTGGCGCGCTCTGTGCCAGCGCTTCCCACGCTTCCAAAAAAGGAGGCGGGAACCTGAGCGTGTGTCACGTGACGATGGACACCGGGACCCCAGCTGGACACTGTGTGGACATCCAAAAAGGGGGACACTCCCACCCTAGACACATGAGTGTGTATATAAGCAGGGCCGGGGTCTCCGCCACGTTCACCCCCACTCTACTGGAACCAGCAGCGGGAAGACATCCTCCTTGAAAGCCAGACACAACCGCAGGTGAGCGGCTAAGAGCAGCCCAGGATATCGCGTACTGACGCCCGGTATTGAGACCAGACACAGAGGAGGGACTTTAGTCACTGCTCCGCTGTTTAGTCCAGACAGGTCTTCCGTTTACCGATATTAGCCGTAATACAGCTTTTATTTTGACAGGTCCACGTTGCGACATCCTGACAGTTGATGCGTTCGCGGACTGTCGGAAACTATCTAGTCTGTCTAAAAATATACTCAGCAACCATTTCAAAATTACATTCGGACGTAATTACAATCGGAAGTAAAGTTAAAAAACTGTAATTTATATTAGTTGTGATATTTGTTACACAGATTCAAAGTAGGTCTAGCTCTAAGATGATTTTTGTCTTAAACAAAAGAAAATCGTATCATTTTACTTTTAAATGTCAAGGAAATTGTATATTTACCGAATATTCTGAACGCAACTTTGATTATATTTCTCTACTTAATTTATCCCTTACCCTAACATTTTTAATTAATAAATTGTATAAATTATTTGAAAAACGGCCGCACATTAGATTAGAAATTTCATTACACATTATAATGATATAGCTTAAGATTTATGAAGTCAAAACAACAGAAAGTCGACAAATATTCACTGAGCCTCAATTCAGCTTTTAAAAATATTTACAGACAGATTTATATTGAATACACACGCGGTATTTTCTCAGATACTCCTGGAGAAATCCGCGTGATTTAACAATTAACAAGATATTTTGTTTTGGTAATTTATTTGTTTTTTATTTTTCGAATTTATTCTGATGGTTTTACCGTTAAATTGTCCGTGGTGCTGACCTGACCTAACTCTGCTGCCCCCTACAGACATGTGTGACGACGAGGAAACCACCGCCCTTGTGTGCGACAACGGCTCCGGTCTGGTGAAGGCTGGCTTTGCCGGAGACGATGCCCCCAGGGCCGTCTTCCCCTCCATCGTTGGTCGCCCTCGTCACCAGGTATACTGCACATTCTGGGAAATATTACTGTGTGTGTGCAACACCTAGTGGTGAGATTGGAGAATGGTGGGAACTAAAGTACAATACTACCAAAAAACCCCAAAAACTTTTAGACTAAAAAAAACATTTTTCTTTTTAACTTTTTTTTGCTACATTTTTGGCTAAATTCGTTTTATTGAGATTTTTTTGTCAAACATTTTGCTACATTTGGCTCTTGTTTACTGATTGTTGCTACTGTCAGTTATTTCTGCAGAATCTGTGATTTTATTTATTTTTACTCAGCAGCAGTTTGTTGAACAGATTCAGTCAAATCTCTGTCCTGTAGGACGTTTGGGATGTTTTAGGGTGTTTAGTCCAACATCTCTGTGAATGTTCTGACCCAGGGCTATTTTTTACTCCACCTCACTTCCCCTCCCCCTCCTCTTCTCAGGGTGTGATGGTGGGTATGGGCCAGAAGGACTCCTACGTGGGCGACGAGGCCCAGAGCAAGAGAGGTATCCTGACCCTGAAGTACCCCATTGAGCACGGTATCATCACCAACTGGGACGACATGGAGAAGATCTGGCACCACACCTTCTACAATGAGCTGCGTGTGGCCCCTGAGGAGCACCCCACCCTGCTGACTGAGGCCCCTCTGAACCCCAAGGCCAACAGGGAGAAGATGACCCAGATCATGTTTGAGACCTTCAACGTCCCCGCCATGTATGTGGCCATCCAGGCTGTGCTGTCCCTGTACGCCTCCGGTCGTACCACCGGTGAGAGGAAGAACATCCCAGAACCTCAGCACTACTCCAAAACACAAACTTCTCTTTGAGTCTTATCAATTTTACCTTCTGTTCCTCCCAGGTATTGTGCTGGACTCCGGCGATGGTGTGACCCACAACGTCCCCGTCTATGAGGGTTATGCTCTGCCCCACGCCATCATGCGTCTGGACCTGGCTGGTCGTGATCTTACCGACTACCTGATGAAGATCCTGACTGAGCGTGGCTACTCTTTCGTTACCACCGGTAAGTGGAGGAAAACTGGGAAAAGCAGAGGAGAGAAGAGAATGAGGAGGGAAGGAGAAAAGACACTAATAGGACAATGAAAAAAAAACATTTTCCCACAATTTAAACATGTTTGATACATTTTTCCACAGTTAAACATTCTTAATATCAATTTGTACGTGCGGCCGCCCTCGTCACCAGGTAAATAGGCGCCAACAACTGCCTCCGTTAGACTGATGGCAGACGTAGTAATAATTCATTAGAAATATCATTAAGGCATTTTCTTCTGCTTCCTTTATTGTCTTTACGTGGTTTTAAATGAGTATTTACTATCCTTATTTATCAAATTTAACTGGAATTTGTCAATTAATATTCAATACAAACAAGTTAAGAAATGTATATCGCTATGGAAATACGTGTTTATTTATTATTGAAATTTGCCTGTAAGAGACATAGCAAACAACAACAAAAAAACAGAGAAAAAAAAATGCAATTATACGATGCTCCGTACTGTTATCCTAAGGCTCTGCTCATATTGTCACGTGTTATTCAGTAGTTTGATGTACCGGCTGCCCACATTGCACCATCTGACCTCCCCCCCTCCCCCTTCTTCTTCATCAGGGTGTCATGGTCGGTATGGGTCAGAAGGACTCCTACGTCGGCGACGAGGCCCAGAGCAAGAGAGGTATCCTGACCCTGAAGTACCCCATTGAGCACGGTATCATCACCAACTGGGACGACATGGAGAAGATCTGGCACCACACCTTCTACAATGAGCTGCGTGTGGCCCCTGAGGAGCACCCCACCCTGCTGACTGAGGCCCCTCTGAACCCCAAGGCCAACAGGGAGAAGATGACCCAGATCATGTTTGAGACCTTCAACGTCCCCGCCATGTATGTGGCCATCCAGGCTGTGCTGTCCCTGTACGCCTCCGGTCGTACCACCGGTGAGAGGAAGAACATCCCAGAACCTCAGCACTACTCCAAAACACAAACTTCTCTTTGAGTCTTATCAATTTTACCTTCTGTTCCTCCCAGGTATTGTGCTGGACTCCGGCGATGGTGTGACCCACAACGTCCCCGTCTATGAGGGTTATGCTCTGCCCCACGCCATCATGCGTCTGGACCTGGCTGGTCGTGACCTGACAGACTACCTGATGAAGATCCTGACTGAGCGTGGCTACTCTTTCGTTACCACCGGTAAGTGGAGGAAAACTGGGAAAAGCAGAGGAGAGAAGAGAATGAGGAGGGAAGGAGAAAAGACACTAATAGGACAATGAAAAAAAAACATTTTCCCACAATTTAAACATGTTTGATACATTTTTCCACAGTTAAACATTCTTAATATCAATTTGTAGATTTTTATTTTTTTAACGTTTACCTTTTTGAATTTTTAACTTTTGTTTTAAAAAGATATTTACCTTCAATCTTAAATACATTTTTAATCATAATTAAACAGTTAAAATGTATTTTGAACTTCCGTTTTGTGCCCCCCTGACATAGTAAACTTGTAATTTATTCATTTATTTAACTTTTTTAAAATGAATCGAGTCTTATTCTTACTTGTGGAGTGGCACTGGGGAGACTCGTGGAAACATGTGAAGCTGCAGGCCGTTTGTCGTGACTCCAGGACTTCTGTTGTTTCACTTGTGTGGCTGCTGTTCGTGTGTTTTTCACACACACTCTCCCTCTTTGATGTCTGGTCACAGCTGAGCGTGAGATCGTGCGCGACATCAAGGAGAAGCTGTGCTACGTTGCTCTGGACTTCGAGAACGAGATGGCCACCGCTGCCTCCTCCTCCTCCCTGGAGAAGACCTACGAGCTGCCCGACGGTCAGGTCATCACCATCGGCAACGAGCGTTTCCGCTGCCCCGAGACTCTGTTCCAGCCTTCATTCATTGGTGCGTGCTCCAACCTTTGTTTTCATCATTTGAATATCTCCAAATTAACTGTTTGACTAAAAGACACGAGGTAGACGTGTGTTGCATTTCTCCTCCTAATTCCCATCATGCACCTGCACAGGTATGGAGTCTGCTGGCATCCATGAGACCGCCTACAACAGCATCATGAAGTGTGACATCGACATCCGTAAGGACCTGTACGCCAACAACGTCCTTTCCGGTGGTACCACCATGTACCCAGGTATCGCTGACCGTATGCAGAAGGAAATCACAGCTCTGGCTCCCAGCACCATGAAGATCAAGGTGAGGACGATGACGAAAGCATTTCACTGTATTTCTACCAAAATTAACAAGTAGAGAAAAGATAATAATTAGCAGTGAGGATGGACTTTGATTGGTTCTGGTTCTCCCCGCAGATCATTGCTCCACCTGAGCGTAAGTACTCAGTCTGGATCGGTGGTTCCATCCTGGCTTCCCTGTCCACCTTCCAGCAGATGTGGATCAGCAAGCAGGAGTACGACGAGGCTGGACCCAGCATTGTCCACCGCAAGTGCTTCTAAACACAAAGCCCCCCGCCCCAAAACGAAGCCCCACAGCAAAAAGAAAAGAAAAGAAAAAGCCCACAGAAAGTGGATCCACTCAGTGTTCTGCTGACACCTGCTGGCAGTTTGCTGGAAGTGTTGCCGTCTCATCACCTGTACATATGTTATTTATTCCTTCTCTGACGTCTGTGAGTCTGTGTTGAATGTGAGTCGATGTGTGTATGTGACGGACTTACTGTGTGACAGTAAGAACCAGAAAAATCAGAAAAGACCAAAAAAGGAAAACGATTAAAACTAAGCAAACACACAAAATAAAAGCTGTTTATTTTCACGTAGATGTCCTGTCATTTCTTTCATGGGTTCTGTTTCTCCTCACCGCCACAGAAAGTAAACGGCCACAAATTACACCACAAGTTTTTTAAGTTAACTAAAAAAATGGGTAAAGCTACAAGTTAGACTAAATGATTAACACTAAAATGAAAATCAGAGCAAAACCAAAGCAAAAGAAAGTAAAGGTTAGCAGGCTCCAAAAACCGTTACAAAGTAACAAAAAATATGGCAAAAGAGCTGCAAGTTGTACAGCAAAATTAGTAGAAAGGTTGCCCAAACATTTCTTAAGATTGCCCTTAAATATAACCATCCTATTCCCAAAAAACGAATAGACTTAGCGAAAGCATAATGCCTAAAACGTTGGTTAGCAAAATATATCAAACTTAAATAAACAATCTAGTGCTGTAGAAACGTTACTAATAATTAACCAAATATATCATTGGTTAAGCCAGAAGTTTAACGGCAAACTTTCTAAGTTTTACTTTGGAAGACACCTCACTTCGGAAGCTGTGTATTTTATTTCCGCTAGTTTTATCGGTAGCTTTACGCTGACGCCTTGTCAGTGTTGACGCTCATATTCGCTCCATGACCAGAAATAGCGGACCCGGGATCGGAATCCGGAGCCAGACCGGACACTTCTGGACCCAGGTCTGAGTGAGTCCGCGGCTCTGTCTATGTTCTGTTGCGTCTTAGTCGTTTTCGTTTTTTTAAATCGATACAGGTGAACGTTACATCGATTTCAAGCCTGTTTTTCTGTCAAAATTCACTAGTTATTTTCCTACTCTCACCTTAACCATGCAACAGAATTGTCCATTACCTACTGTTAATGCACAAATGCGTAGAGAGGACGGTTTTAGAATAATAATAAATCAAATTTCGTATTATCGAGTTCGTATTTGGAATTTAATCCACAGCGAACCAATGTGCGGTGTTCTGACACCGATGGCAGTAGCCTTCTTCGTTTAAAAAAATACATCAAATGACCTAAAACGATGTTTATTTGTAGAATGTGGGGGTACTGTGTGTAGGTGGATTGGATCTGAGCTGAAAATAGATCAGGCTTTGGCTGTGCTACGGTCTGTAGTAAAACCTTAATGAGCCTCAGCGGAGTAATCTGAGGTAGAAGCCTGTGGGCGAGACCTACAGGTTATATTACGTCTCTGGCGTGACGTCATGGGGAAGAATCCTACTGAAAAATCTATGACAGGTTTTCTTGTATATGTGATCGTGTGACAATGTTGTCAGATTTACGCTAATTATCGTTTATATAGTCGATAACAAATTCACAATAAATCGTTTTTACGCTTTTCCGTGTACAAATGAATGAAAAATCGAAGCTTATATTTCAATTTTGACCTCAATTAATACAGTTACCATGACATTTAGAATATCAGTGTGCTGAATTATAAGTCGCATGCTATTTTTAAGAGTTTCTAAGTGGGGAAACCGGGTTTTCTATTGCTGTTTGTTAAATGTGACATATTATGTCCACTTTCTGTTGAGGGAGGACCTCAACCTGTCGCCAGGAGGAATGCTAAGGTCTTTTACAGCTGCGTACCATAGCAAATTAAATAAACTCACAACAAAAGTAAAGTGGTCGATGAGGGTTTCTTTCTCCATGGATTATTACAACCTAAAATTTTGAATTATTTATGTAATAGTTTTATACCAACTGAATAACTTGCTGAAAATGCCATAAATTAATAGAAACTAAAATGCCATAGCTGTATAAATTGCACCACAGATCAGTTATTTAAACTGTGTTAATGCTAATGTTAATGTTTTTATATAAGCAGGTTTTTTGAACAGAAAAAATAAACGTTACCACATGACAGGCTGAACGTCAGAACATAGTAGTAACCACATTGTGTGTCTCCACACCTTACAGATTTGTCCACAAGGTCTAAAGCTCCATGAGACAGTTGTCAGACGGTGCCTAAGGCCCAGTCAAGTCAGGTAGGAGAATACTTAACTATTCTAGGATTTTAAAAAAATCTTCTGATCATTCAAATCATTTTTGATCACCGTGATGATTGATGTGACTCATGAAAGTCAACATTGTCTCGTCTGTTTTTTTTCTCAGTGACTGAAAATAAACTGTGTAGGAACCAGAACCATGTTGACCAAGAAAGTCCGCACCGAGTACATGAAGAAGTTCCGAGATCCAAAGTGGGAGACCTTCTCTAAGTGCTACGAGGACTCCCTGAAGTACCGTCTGACCCGGCGGCTCATTGAACAGTCCCACAAGCCCTGGTTCTGGGAGGGCTGGGACAGTGGCTCTGACTCCAGTGGCTGGTCCACCCCCAGGCTGAATCAGAACAAGGTGACACCTCTATCACTCCCACCGCCTGAGGTGAGACAGAGGCTGTGTGAGCTGATGAGCAGTTCTGGACCGGAGGATGGAGGAGGAGGAGGAGCTGTAGACGCCGAAGGTTAGGGATCGGTTTCATTTTCATAGTTCTACCTTTTTTTTTTGTTGTGTTGCATTTAAAAATGATAGTGAAATGTTGATGGCGTAGACCAGGGGTGTCAAACTCATTTTGGTTCACGGGCCACATACAACGTAATTAGATGTCAAGTGGGCCGGACCACATAACATAATGAACTATAATTAAAAATGTTTCCCCCCTTTGCTTTCATGAAAAGAAGTATATTAGATATTTATTATTATTCATGCATATGTAATGAAATATAATTTAAAAAAAAAAAATCATGATGTGAACATGAAGTATTTGTGTATTTTTTTGTGGGCCATATTGAACTGCCTAGGGCCGGTTTTGGCCCCCGGGCCGTATGTTTGACAACCCTGACGTAGAGTTTAAAATGACTTTACTTTAGACTTTAAAAAGTCATAGTTTTACTTATTTTGAAAGAAACCAGCAGCAGCAGACTTCCACTTTTGTTATGTCAGCCTAATATTTTACTCCTTGTGTTTGTGTGAATCAGCTGCTGTGGAACACAGAGTGACTGAAGGCAGCAGCGGGTCAGTACCCGCTGCTCCAAATGTCATCCATCCCTCTGAAGACACTGAGACCGACAACGGGCCGGTGGACTCTGCCTCCTCTAACGGAGGGCCGGCCAACCCTGCACCAAAGCGCCGCCAACGCCGTCATGTTGCTCGATCAGAGTCGGATCCCCAAGAAAGCTCGTGCGATGACAAAAAAGCTGTGGCACGAAAGCCGCCAAGAGCCAAAAGTCAGCCCGCCATCAGCAGCAAGGAGAAGGAAAACCGTAAACCCTCCTGCAGACTGGACTGGACCAAGAGACAAGTGGAGGTCAGGAGGATGACCAACGATGTGAGTGGTTTCAAAAGATTTTAAAAAAATCATTACTGATGCACAACGTACGTCGGATTGTACCAAGAGCGCCCCCTAATTCTGTCAGACTCAGTGTGAGTGAAAACATGGCTGCCTGATGACATGACTCTTTCAAACGTTGAGATAAAAAATTATCACAGAGTTGTTGTTGTTTGGTTTGTAGGTTAGCTTTTATGTTGTTCTATTTTCAACTGAGGGAGAGCAGCGGCGGATCCAGGATCTACAGAGTCCTAGTTCTCCACAGCAGAGAACTGAAGCTGTGTCACACATGAATAATGAAGGAGGGGTGTTGATTTACAGTAACAACCCCCGGTCCCCCTCTCCCATCTAATTCTCTCTCTCTGATTCTGGTTTCTGTATCTAGAACCAGAAGTTGGACACCTGTGTTCCGACGCGGCGAGACTCTGATAGGAAGAGGTCCACCGTGGACCGCCGCAGGGCCCGGTCAGCGGATCTGGAGAAGATGAGAAAGTCTCAGCTGGTGGTGGTGGTGGACGAGCGCTGGATGACGGAGTACATGCGCTGCTTTTCTGCCAGAATGAGGTAGAGGCCGGTCATCATAAACCCCACCCCTGGAAACCTCACCTGACGACCGCCCACTTAGATCCATGTGATCTGGTTACAGTCTTTCCTGTTCATCTGGGTCACAGTAAAAGTCCTTTTTTAATTTCCACAGAGAACAGTGAGTCATGTCACCATCAACATACAGGAAGGGCCCATTTCAAGTATGAGTTATCGAAGTCAGACGCTGATGATGTCACCAATTTGTCGATGTCACCTGTGAACAAACAGAGAAAAATGTCTTTCTAAACTTTCTACACAAAAACCTAAACTCTCTGAATGTTTCCAAACACACAGCTTTTGACAGAGTGTTTTTTCAGATTGTATTTCTGTATCGATGATTGATAAAGATTTAAATGTAATATCAAGAACTATCAGTGGTTAAGAAGATAACAGAATAATTAGATTTATGTGAAAAATATTTTTAAAGAGAAATGTATATTTATCTGTCACTCAATAATCCATGAAAACAGCAGGATTTAATCTGTTTTTATATTATTATTAATAGTATAATTTTGTTTGGACTGTTTTTACTGAAAAGCACTGAAATTTTTAATCTTTTATTCTCTTTAATCAGAGAAAAACAGATGTGAAGAATTTTCAAAGACAAAAGCTGCACTGTTTACACAAAAAGTCACCAGAACTGTTTAAAGTAAAAACACCTCAGACCACAAACCTTTCACTGCTGCGTACCGGGTGTTTATTTTTTTGGTTGTTGTTGTTTTTTTTTTTTTAGTACCAAACCCTTTTCTACAGTAGGAACCAAAAGATTGGAACTGCAAGTAACAGGAACTGAAAGAAGTATCAAGAACTCTGTGAAGTTCGTCCAATGGAACCACTGAGGACCAGATGTCCTACCAAATACAAATTTTTCTCAACACCAACAACATGTACGGGACCAGGTACCAGTATCTACAGACAGTAACAGGAACTATGCGTCTCCCCAATGCAGGAACCATCTTTCCACCACTTGATCAAAGACCTAATTTCTGGTAACTGGTACTGTCCAGTCTTCCTGGTACTGTCCATAGTTCCTGGTACTTGCACATTTAAATCCCATATTTGGTCCCCCAGTAGAAGAAAACAGTGACATCATGTTGTTTTGTTGCAAGCATTGAGAACATAAAGCGAAATGCTGTATTGTGTCCACAAGGAGGCGCTGATGAATCACACAGTCAAGCTAAAAAAAAAAAAAAGCCGTTCAGTTACTCAGCTGATACTCGTCTTATTTAAGTTCCAGTGTGGCAGTACTTGTGGCATCAGCTCCTAACTCTTGTAGAACGTTTCTAAATGTCCAGGTACCGATGATTCTACAGCAGCTACAGACAGAGACTGTAGTCCATTGGTATAAAACTAAGGATTTGGTGTTTGTGACTGTTGGTTTCTTGTGCATGAGATGAAAATGTGTTAATTCAACATTTATTTCAGTTTTGAATTTAAAAATCAGGATTTATCTGAATTATTTTCATGTTTGATGATTGTACTTGAAGAAGTTCACGTGGACATGCACGTGACTGGTCAGTATCTTTGATGTGCTGCTGTGAAAAAAATATTAAACCTAAATAAAATACTGTATTTTGATTTCTTATTTTGATTTTATTTCGTGCCTTAGACCCAGTCCTGACACATAAACAATTTCAAGGTGGTCCAGAAACACTTTTATAATTTTTTCCCCTTTTTGTTTATAATTGTAGCCGTTTTTAAGTAGTTTTAAAAACTGAACAAGACTAGAGACAGACGAAAGAATAGCAGAAGTGAAAACAAAACAAAACAGAAGAAAAACTCAATTTCCCAGAAGGACAAGTATCCATGTGACGTCATCAACATACATCGACAGCGGCAGTGCATTGAAAAGAGGGTTAGAGTTTCTTCTTACTTTTTCTTCTCTGTTCTCCTCCCGGGACTTCAGTGTGAGGGAAGATGTTTTCCAACCCAGAATTCCAGACTGCTCTCCACAAACTGGATCGTCTCCTTAGAAAGGTTCGATTCCCGGGACCTGTGGATTTTAGCGGGTAAAAGACAAACGTCATCAACGTCACTCTCAGAGCTTTTCAATCTTCAACACAGGGCTTGTTTGAAAACGTTATTAATATTCAAGTTATTATAGTTATTATTATTACTTTTCAAATGATCAATTGTTTATATATTTAATGTTTTGTGATAACAATATAACGTTTGATAACCTTTATTTGCTAAAAATATTTATCAAACATGGTTTTTTTGTTTATATATTTGTAACTTAAACATTTTCTAAAATTTAAATTATTTTTTACCTTTTCTTGTTTATTTTACTTTTATTGTGCCCCGTTTTTTTTTTTGCCTCAGCCTGTCCACGGGAGACCCCGTAGCCTTTCTTCCTATCCTGAGCTTCAGCCTGACGTCATTTTCTCCAGCTGTGGCCGAGCTGCTGATGACGTCCGGACTAGAACTAAGCGGGAAAACCGACTTGAGATTCACTGACACTTTTTATAAGGTACAAGCGCAAACTATCTCGGTAGCTAACTGTTAGCAAATAAGACAGAAAGCTAATATTTTTGTGTTTTCTTTTTGCAGGTTCTCCGAGATGTGTTCCATTACAAATCGGTCCTAAACAAACATCAGTTCCTGCAGATTGGTTTCTCTCAGAGGAAAATCTCCCTCACTTGTGACGTCATTAACCTGGTTCTGCTCAAACACAAACAGCTACACAAGGTACTGTTTTCCCTGAGTTCTGACTCAGGAGTCCTGAGAATCGCTTTCACCTGACTTTGAAAAACAAATTTCATCACAAAAAAAATTATACATTTTAGTTAATCCAGAATTCTTTACCTTTGAATGATTTGTTTAAATTTGGATTTCAGGCTTCCAGGAAATCCCAGTCTGGAGTTTACAGGGAAAATCCTTCAGTTCTTTCCTCAAAATCCAGATCTGACTGGAGCCAGGAGTCGACGCCTTGGTCCGATGTTCCTGAGGACAGGATCAGCTCGCTGGGGGAACAGAAGAAAGGAGATGAGATACAGGTGTCTTCACAGATGAGGCAGTGTGAGGAGGCGGAGTCTGATGAAGAGCTGGAGCAGTTACAGACTGATGAAGTAAACACGTGTCCATCGTGCCCACCTATTTTTCTAGCTTCAGTCAAACCAGGGTGTTTTTTCTTTCTCTCGTTTCGTTCCTGAGTCTTATTTATTTTAATACTCAGTTACTAAAAACAAAACCATTTTTGATTAGATTTAAAGTGTTCAAACCTCCCCTTCCTTCTATGTCTCCTGCTCTCCCATAAGGTGGAGGAGATGAAGTGCAGCTCCTGTGTTTGTCCTGTGTCTGAGATGTCAGAGCTGAAGATCAGGCTCTCAGCTGTGGAGGCTCAGCTCCAGGGTCTTCTGTCCAGACTGGAGGACGTCAGGATCCTGGAGAAACGTGTGGAGGAGCTGGAGAAGAGAACGCAGCAGAAGATCTCAGTAAGGGAGACTGTAAGTAAAGGGGATGTGTGGAGACAGTGAGAAGGTCAGAGCTGAAGTTAGTTTTGTTCCAGGCTGGAGGAGAAACCATAAGTGTGAAGAGAGGGCAGTGGGAGGATCTGCTGAGCAGAGTATTTCTACTGGAAACCAAAGATGCTCTTAACAACAGTCAGGTGAGAAGAAGAAGAAGAGAACCTCAGGTCTGAACCTGCAGGACCTTGGTCTCCTTCTGATGTCTGGTCCTGGTCCATTGCCTTTGTCCCTGCAGTAAAACACAATAAATGTTTTATTTCTTTCATCTTCAGGTTAAAGCTGTATCACCTTCATCTTCATCCTCTCACACCTTAAGAGCAGAAACCTCCAACTCTTCACATCAAGAAGATCAGGATCAGGATCACCATCCTGTCCAACCATTGGTAAAAACCATGTTTGTGAAGAGTGGAGCAAAAGTGAAGTCTGTGCAGGTCAGGAAAAGTCAAAGTTTTTGTTTTGGAGCAGGTTGAAGAGAAGGGGGAAGGGGGAGAAAAGGGGGAGGAGCTGAGGACCAGACTGGAGAACATCACCAACCTGTGAGTTTTTATCAAACAGGATATGAAGATGATGTCCTCTACAAGCACAACTCTCTCTCTCTCTCTCTCTCTCTCTCTCTCTCTCTGTGTGTTTAGGTTGAAGAACACCTCCTCCTTGTTGAAGAAAACGAATTCCTCCTCCAGTCTGGAACAAACAGAATAATTCAGTGTCTAAAAAATATTGATGTTTCTTTTAATAATTATAGTCACGTCATTTCTTTCCTTTTACAATAAAGAAATCAACAAAATGTATTGAATCTTGACTCATTTTTATTCTAGTGTTCTTGCTACCACCTACTGGCTGTCGAGTGTTATTATTTTCATTATTTTTAGACTTAAGTCCCAAAGGGGCAAAGCAGCCAGTGACTGAACCTTGAAAAACGGCCCGTATTTAGAAGCAAAACATACAAAAAATGTCGTAAATTGAATTAATGAATAACAGGGCGTATTATATGTAAAGGGTATACAAAAAAAACAGTGAGAGCTGGGGCTCGAACCCGTGACCCGGTGAATTTCTTGCTATAATAAGAGCGCCCCATCGTGTGGCTCCATTCATGAAAAGTGGAAAACAACAAGATGCAGTAGAAATAACAGCCGTTAGGTGGCAGTAGCACTTCCCAGAAGCCGGTAAAAAACAAAGCACGAAGGAACGACAGAGCGGCAAAAGTCTCTTCCTGTTTTTGGTCTGACGCCAGGTTCCTTATGCAGACTTGACTTCAGCTTCCATCACTGCAGAGGTTTTTATTTATTTACAATTTTTTAATATTTATTTCCTCAGTTACTCGGATAAAAAACAACGGCATGGAGCATGAAAACGTTACTTTAAACGGGTGAGTGCTGACACGCACGAATACAAGAACAAATTCTTCATCTTTACAGGCAGAAGCGGACACAGACGTTTTTTTTGTGTTTTGTGTTTGGCAGAAGCGGACACAGACGTTTTTTTTTTCTTAAAGTGTTATTTTTTTTACTAACCTGTTTGACAAGTAGCTTAAGTTTGTGCGCAGATAAGCTCAGATGAAACACACCATTGTTGACATTCACTAAATGCAGACGTGGCCCCTTTGTGGACTTTAATGGGGGGCAGTGAGTGCTCTTTTCTCAATTACTGTCTAATAGTCACTTCAAAAGCAGAGATCATTTTTTAGATTATGTGTCTGTCTAACTCTCTCTTGAAAAAAAACAATCGGTGAAAAAAAAAAACGGGGTGAATTTTTAGGACAACACCCAGAATTTGTGAAAATTCCGTTTTGTTAACAGGTTTAACAAGTTCTTACAGACACAGGTAATCACTGGTTAACAGTTCAAAGTTAGTGCCATGACTGCTGAGTTACAGTGAACTTAAGGAAATGAACCAATAACCATTATTATCTGTCTTGCTATATATGTTTTGGTAGTTTTTTTGTTGTTGTTATTGTTGGGTTCAGTTATTTTTTCAGTCACAACAACGTTAGCATTAGAGACTTTCATTTGAAGGAGTTTAACAGCTGTTGATTGTGTTTGTCCTTCAGTGTTACCAAGAAGAGAGACAACTACCTGGAGTGGCCAGACTACTTCATGGCCGTGGCCTTTCTGTCGGCCCAGAGAAGCAAAGACCCGAGTTCACAGGTCAGAAGTTTGTCCTCTGACTTTAACGCACTCACCTCTGAGATACATTTGAAATATTAAAATAAACATATAAGCTGAATTTTACCCCCAAATGCGTTGGCCAAACTGGCGTATATGTTATAATACAATTATGTAATGAAGCTGCTGCTAAAATCTGTTCTGTGTGTGTATGTGTGTGTGTTCAAGGTTGGTGCGTGTATAGTGAACCAGGACAATAAGATTGTTGGTATTGGTTATAATGGGATGCCAAACGGCTGTGATGACGACCTGCTGCCATGGTCCAGATGTGCTGAAAACAAGCTGGACACAAAATATCCATATGGTCAGAATCAACACATAAACACCCAGATACACACAAACACTTTAATTTGACACCCTTATTTAAAGGTTCAGCTTTTAGCCACAGGTCATAAAAACATCCACTTTCTCCATGTTTTAAATGAATGGTTGTTTCGTCTTGCCATAAAACAACACCAAACTTCTAAACAAACTGTTTTTTTTTTTTTAAAGTGTGTCACGCTGAACTCAACGCCATCATGAATAAGAACAGCGCTGACGTGAAGGGCTGCAGCATGTATGTGGCGCTGTTTCCCTGCAATGAGTGCGCTAAACTCATCATCCAGGCTGGTGTGTGCTTTCTCAAACTCTTCCTGCTCTGACCTCTCTCTCTCTCTCTCTCTAACTAGTTTTGTACTCCTTCTCTCCCCGACTCCTCTAACTCTCTCTCTGCCTCCTCTCTCCTCAGGTTTAAAGGAGGTGATCTACCTGTCAGACAAATACCACCACACACCAGAGATGACAGCATCCAGGCGTCTGTTGTCCATGGCAGGAGTTCACTTCAGGTCACTATCCACTGAACTATTTTTTTAGCTAAATATTATCTCTCTATCACCATTAATAGCAAATAACTATTTCTAGGGCTTATAGCTAACATATTTTACTTTAGCAATTTTCTTTGTTAACTTGTATATTTTGTGTTTTTCTGTTCCACAGACAGTATCAGCCAAAGACAACAGAGATCGTCATCAATTTTAACTCCATCAACGGCTTGGGAACAGCAAATGGCACCATCCAGTGAAAGAGGACAGAAGCACTAGATGCAGAAATGGAATCCAAAGATGTTTTTTTTTTAATGCATGACATGCTTTTAAATCTGTGAGTTGTGACCCAGATATGAATCATGGTACACACAGACATGGTGGTACTAATTGGTGATTTTTTTTTCCTGCTTCAGTTGTTTTTACTGATTCAAGTTTTAAATTAAACCTTCAGACCTTGTTGGTGTCGATTTGTGTTCAGCGGTGGTTTGGGTCCTTTTGGCCCCGCCCCCAACTTTAATTTGACACATTAGCAAACAAACATAAAAATCACAAAATGGCAGTTTAAAAAAAGTGGAAAATTAGGTACAGTATATATTAAGTAAGAAATACAAGCATGAAGACACGTAGTCATAAATAAAAAAAATTAGAAGACATTTGTCAGGTTTAGGAAACTTTGATAAAACAACAAATTAGATAAATATTTTAAATACAATAAGACAATGCTCTCTGATGGAGGGACCTAACACTGACAAAACACTTCACTAAAACAGTCGCTATCACTATTATTTTTTTCACTACGTTTTTTACATAAATTTTAGTAATTCAACGCAATGTGTATGCACATTTTTGACAATGACAGTGTTTGGGCCCCTTTTACGAGGCATTTCTTAAATTAATTTTTTTTCCTCAAACATACTACAGTATGCGAGTTTCGGTCAATTTCGGACATATTTTTTCATATATACTTGCTGGTGCACATTTTGGGCAAAATTAAGGCATTTTGAGTCTTGAGAAACTTTATTTTCTCATATTAAAAAAAAGGTTATCCACACACTCATACATACATTATGTATGTGTGTGTATATGTAGATATACACGCATATATAAACCCACATATAGATGTATCCCAGCTATCTACGAGTGAGGGCGGGGTACACCGCGGACAGCTTGCCAGTCCGCGGCAGGGCCACATATAGAGACAACCAACCATTCACTTTCATACCCATGGTCAATTCATAGTGTCCGATCAACATACTCCCCTATCAGGCATGTTTTCAGGCACGCACACACAGGGAAAAACCATGCAATGCCATACATAATTTCCTTCCTGCTGCACTGGAAAAATCAACCAGGGATGTAAGTTGCACACCAAGTGTTCTACCAACATTTTATACATATATATGTATAAATATATATATATACATATAAACTGTATATACATATACACGTATATATAGATATATATATATACACACACAGAGACAGAGATTCGATGTATTTTGTCTAGCTAAATTAGTTGTAATGTAAAAGGAAACAACAATGAGAGACGACAGTCAGAATTGTTTTTATTGTAGAAAGAGTGAAGATGAAGATTTTGTCATGTGGAATTTTATTCGGGAGACATTTACCCCCCTCCCCCAAAACGCACGCGCACGCACACGCACACACGCACAATCTACTTAGCTTCATCTAGTCCGGGTTTTAATGTCCAGTAGAGGGTGCTGTTGCACCGTGTCCTTTTGATATTTTTTGTCAAGTCGGTGTTTACCCAGAATTCAACTAGTCTGAAATAGTAGCAGACACACAAGACAGAGAACTGAATCCTGACCCAGACCCAGAAACTCACGACCCTAGACCAGAAACAGGTAAATATCCTGATCCTTTGCTGGAAAGTAGTTCCTGGTACTGTTACCTACAGCAGAGACACAGTTCCTAAGATTGTCACTTGATCCTGGTACTTATTCAACTATGTGTTCAATGGTCCTTTTACAGTTTAGTGTAGTTACGATATATCATGATAAATGGTAATAATCAGTGTTCCTGCAGTGTTGGACAAACGTGTTCCTGGAACTACTTTCTAATGGAGTTCAGATCTGGACCCACCCAAAACATGGTTCCTGGTCTCGGTTCTATCAGTTTAAAAGTTAGTACTGACTTCTGGCTCTCAGAATAAAGTCATAGTTCTTGGTCTGAGTGGTTCCATAAAACCCATAGTCGAAATCTCAGACTTAGTCTTGGTCTTCTGCAGTCTTAGACTTAGACCTGGGCTTAACCAAGTCTGACTTAGATCTGAGTGTAGGTCTAACCTGATGCAGATGAAACACAGATGTTTTCCTCTGGTTCTGGTCCGGGTGCCAATTCAGGTTCTGGTTCTGGTCTATAAGGACCAGTAGTAAAATGTTATGTGATTTTTATGTAAACACTTTTTAAATGCCAACTTTATTTTAGCTATAAAAACAAACAAAAACAAAAACAAGTCCATTTTTTTTTGTTCGTACAAACCTCAGTTCTTTTTTGTGCCTGTCTCCCAGAGAAAGTTCACAACAGTTCCAGAGCCACGCCCAAGGCCCCACCCACAGCTACTACTGTGGTCCATGCTAACGGCTAACCGCTAACAGTAAGTTATTTTAAATGCTTGTTTTTTTTTCCTGCGGTGGTGAAAACTCCATCCTGAAATGTCCAACTGTTTGACAGCTGGACTGATTAACCCCGCCCCCCTATACGGAGGGGGAGGAGCCATAGGACAGCCTGAAACCACAGCCTGAAGGCAGGATGGTAGAGGGGCAAGAGACACAGAGAGAAGGAAAGATGGAGCTGAAAAAACAAAAAAAAATCCAGAACCAAACTGAGGCAGTTGGGAAGCAGGACTGAAGGAGAGAACAGAAGGAGGAAAGAGGGACAGAAGAATGGAAATGAAGGAGGTGTGGGAAGAAGGAAGGAAAGAAGGGATGGATGGAAAGGTGAAGCAGTAGGAATGGAGAAAAACCAAGGCATTTGAGTTTTTCCTCTCTTTTCTCCTTTTCCAGTTTTTGCCTCCGATCCTCGTACAGAAACGTCTTGGTTCTGTACATTCGTTTGTACTTCTCATCTTTTTCGAGACAACTCTTTAGAAACTTTATTTCCTCCATTTCTAGCCAAAGTTTTCTGCAAAGTCTTTCTCGGTCCCGAAGTCGGCAAGATTTGTTTGTCACGGGACGTTACCTGCGTCCGATCTCGCTCTGCCGTAGGAACTGGATGTTGTTAGCACTGTCGGCTAACTCTGGGTACTGTTCCACGGACAGGACGTAGTATCCATCATATCCCAGAACCTTCCCGCCGCTCAGCAGCTGCCTTTTCTCTCCCTCGGTCCACAGCCGCGCTCCTTCCTCCCCGTCTCTAACCCGCTGCTGCTCGCGGCTCCAGGCGCCCCACAGCGCCCTCTGCCGCGCCTGTTCCAAGATACGCGCCTTCTCCTCGTCCAGTGTGGTGCCGTAGCGCACGTGGAGTGCTAGCGCGCCGTACTGCAGCTCCACGTCAGCGAAGCGACGCGTGCGTCCATTCATGACTGTGGTGGACTGGGACACGGTCACGTTAACGCCGTTTTCCAGTGATTTCCTCCCTGACGTGAGCCGCAGCGCCCCGAGGTCGTTCTCTGGAGCGCTAGTCTTGATGAAGTAGTGTGTGTCCCGGCCGTCCACGGTGAAGTGCAGCTCTTCCAAGTAAAAGGCATTGTTCAGCACGGACGCCACCTTGATGCAGTCTTCGTTGGCCACGTTGAGGGCGTTGGTCAACACCCGGCCCTGCACCACCGCCAGCATCACACCTTTACCGATCAGAGACCGAACCGTGGCAAACCACAGCCAGGGTTTCGCGTGATCGGAACGCCGGCAGTTGGGCCGGATCTCTGGCATCCTCTCAAACGACAGGAAGGCATGTGATTGACGGGTCACTTCTTGTTGGACACCTGAGATGGACTGAGGCAGAGACAGACAGGATGTGCTTCACCTTTGACCTCATTAGAAAAGCGATTATACTGCGCACGTGGCCATCTGGATGCTAACCTGTAGCTTTTTTCGGACAAACTATAAGCTATTCGTACGACAGACTTTTAACTGTTCCTGGTCAAACTTTTACTTACCTTTTTGCTATTCTTAATATAACAGTTAGCTTTCCCTGGACTAACTTTGGCTGGAGCTGCTAGTTCTACAATTCACTGACAATGGCACAGTTTGAGGGTAATGTGTTGGGGGTCAGGGAGGAGGTAAAGGTCAGAACCTACAGGCAGGTCGTCCCACAGTTGACTCTTCTTCAGCTCCAGTGACGGCTCTGTCATGTCAAACTTTGGAATGGGGAATCCTGGGATGGCATTGTGGAGATGAAAACCGAAGGTCACCAGCCAGATGTTCACGTCTGCATTTGGAAAAGGACACAGGTGAAGAAAATATAAGGGTTACAGAGAAATGGTGAACCAGTAGGGGGCAGTAACGATAGAATTATGAAAGTCACTGCTGGAAAAAAAAGTCTGAGCTAAGTTAAGTGTTTACTGTAAAAAAATGTGATTTTTTTTGTTCGTGGCTAACTCTTAGCTCACCTGTGACATACTCCTTCACCTGGTGGATTTTACTGATGGGATTGTTTCCCCTGAACATGTAGAGGTTGAAGGGCTCAGGGTCTTTGCCCACTCTGGTCCAGGTGCTGATGTCAGGGGTGGTCCACCTGGGACGAAGGCAGAGACAAAGATGGTTCAACAATGAGCTCAGTACATGAAAAAACAAACAAACAAACAAACAAACAAAAACGGAATGGAATGGTGAATTGGGAATTTTAATATTCCCACCTGGAATGTCGTAGTCTCTGTGTCCGAAGTGCAGCAGTCGAGTCAGTGGGTCGTAGAGTCCACCGTGGAAACCGATCACCAGAACAAAGTCCAGGTTTGAGTCAAAGTAGATCTCGCCGTATGCTGTATACTGGACCTGAGATACACACAGACGCGCTTCATAAATCTACGACCATTTGTCGAGCAGAGGTTGGAGTCAGGGCTCAAACCGGTGACTGTCTCGCGGTAAGGCAGGCACAGACACAGACCTGTTTCAGCAGCAGTCCGTTGTTACTGAACACAGCCAGTGGAGTCCCTGTGTTGTCACATGCGATGTAAAACTCCTCCCCGCTGCTGATCTCCATGGCAAACACATGACCCTGAAGAATCACAGAGGAGTCAGAACCAAGTGTGTGTGTGTGTGTGTGTGTGTGGTTTCACTGACATTAATCATCATCATCACAGACATGGAGTATGTAGCTATAACACTGGTGTGTGGACAGAAGCAATTTGATATGCAGCAGAGGTAGCAGTAGCAGCAGCACCACCTGTAGGTCATAGTAGAAGGACGTGATCTCGGAGCTGGAGTGGTTGTAGACGTGGGTGATCCTAGTTGGGTAGTTCAAGTCCGAGTAGAAAAATTGCAGGTGTTGACCCAGACTGTTTCTGGACGCCACCCGCCGGCCCAGACCATCGTATCGGTACTGGATGGTCCAGCCTGAAGCTTTACTGTAGACACGAACCAGAAGACCTGGATGACCGGAGAAGAAGAGTCCAGATCAATCCCTTGGACTGTAAACATGTTGTTGTCAGTAATCCACACCAATCCTCATAGAGAAAACCAGTGATTTTAGCTCACACAGACACAGCACTTGTTGATTCACTGCGGCCTCTTTCACTAAGTTCACACAAGTTTCACTAAGTTTCTTGGTGACTGCACTGTTTGAAATCATCATGTTTAGATTTTCCTCAGCAGCGGACCAGCAGCTTTCATGTTATTGTGTGTTTAGACACCGATTTTCTCTACGAACCTTAAGATTTTCTGTACACCTCAGCTGAAACACATTTGTGCAGATTAGCCCAGGAAAAAGTTAACCGCGGCATTTTCAGAAAGCCTTACAATGTAAAAGGATTATAACGTGTAATGTTAGAGTTGGAATTTCGTCGTTACCTTTGGAGTTGTACTCAAAGATGTCCGCTCCTCTCTGTCTCAAAAACCCGTCCTCGTCCAGGCGGTACTGAACATCTCCCAGACGAGTGATACGATCCCTCAGGTCGTAGCGCAGCGGGGTCAGTCTGCCGCTGTTCCAGCAGGTGTAGGTTCCCATTGAGGTCGTAGTTGTACCTGTGGAGAAACGACGCCATCAGCGACCGATTACACGCTATCTGGATTTGTGTTTTCATGTCTTCAAGAGCACGCACTCACCTCCACATCATCTTCTCGTTGAGCGAGACCGTCTGCAGCTGCCCGTCCACGTCATACTCGTAGCCGTACTTGGTGGTGTTGGCGAAGGGTCCAATCTTTATCTCCCGTTTGGTGACACGGCCCACGTTGTCATACTGAATGGTGATCCAGTACATCAGGGACCTGAAGATCTCGTACTGGATCTCCTTGATCCGTCCGTGCTGGTCAAAGTGTTTGGTGTAGGTCATCACAGCCGTGGAGATGATCTGGACAGGAATTAAAAAAAAAAAACAACTTCTAAAAGTAGCCAAAAATAGAGGAACGTTGCCCAGAATTGGTCAGAGTTAGAAATAGCTACAAATTAGAGTCACTACTAAAAGCTAAGCCTGTATCCTACTCTTTAAGTTTCAAACATAACAAATAAGCTAACTGTTAGCCTAAAACGCTGATGTTTCCATCTCACCTGGTTAATGTCGTAGTAAATGACTCCAAACTTCCCAAACTGCTCCACCTTCCCGCTGATATCGTCAAACTGATACAGGTCGATGGGCAGCGGCGTCTCGTTGATGACAGCCTGCATGCTGGTCACCCTGAAGCTGTTGTCGTAGGTGTAGTCGAAGCGTGCGTTCACCATCCCGTCCTCGCTGAAGCGGAATATCTGTCGGTCCACCAGGGGGCCGATCTGCCGGTAGCGGATGGAGCAAATGAACCCTTCGCTCTGCAGGTTGACCGTCTTCAGGACGCCGGCGGTCTCGTCGTAGGTGAAACTGACGCGGGTTGAGTCGTAGAGAATCTCAGCCAGTTTGTTCTGATGACAGAGGGAATTTACGGTAAAAACATCTTGAAAAATGACCTCTAGGTAAAAAGTTACATCTTCTTTTGTTTTCTGTGTAAAAGCATGAGTTTGTTACCTGTCGGCGATATTTGTACAGAATCTGTCGCCCGGTGCCGAGATGGGCCACTCTGAGGAGCTGAAGAGACAGTGGAAACGTATCAAAAATAAAACTAAAACAAAAAAAAAAGTTTTTTACTATATAGAGTAATACCACAATGAGTTTAACATAACAAAAGTTAGATTTGGATTATTGTCATAAAATTTATAAATGTCACAAAAACAAAAAATAATTTAAGTTGTCTAGAGCCTGCTGTAATAACAGTGTAAATAAAGTATAAATGCGTGAATACAAAGACATTAGGTTCACATTAGGTAATAAGGATGTAATAACCGCAGTTAACATTTTAAACATTTCAACATTAAAGTTAAACATTTTCTTTTCCGAAATAGACCAACGTTATTACCATTTTATTTATGAAGCACATTTAAAAACAGCAGAGGTGAAACCAAAGCAGACGTGAACAGAAACAGTCGAAATCCACTGAAAACCAAACTGTTTTCAACAGACATTTAAAACAATGAAGTGATGGTACCATATGACCCCTCACCTGTCCGTCCTCAGAGTAGTCCACAGTGACTGAGGCGTTGCTCTCCGGGGGAGTATAGATGTTCCTGTAGTATCCCACAGACCTGATGGTCTGCATGGTGTGACGGGCCACGCTGGGCATGGTGACGGCCGAGAGCCGGTCTGCCGAGTCGTACTCGAAGATGTACTGATGCTGGCTGTGGAGCAGCAGCACCATGGACTGTTGGAGAGACAGCACCGAGAGCTGAGTGAGGGACATTTGGACCATTCAAAAACGAGGCCCACATCTGACGTGGCCCACATGTGATGTAGCCTACATTCTGATTTAATCAATACAAATCCCATTGCCTAAACTGACGACAGGGCTGGGCTATTTACACAGAAATATATATAAAACAGGTATTATAGGTGGAAAAAACATAGGTGCGGACCAACTCTCTTCACCACTGCACCACAGCCACGCTTTTATTGAGAGATGAAGTTTGAGCCTGGTCACCTTGTCCAGGTAGGTGTAGCTCCAGATCTTTCCATCAGCAAAGACTCGGGATGTGATCCTGCCCTGAGCGTCGTACTCCCAACGCTCTGTGGTCGGACCCCTTTGAAGACCAGTCACAAACAATGTACCGCACACACACACACACACAAACACACACACAAACACACATGGTGAAATGATAGAAATGACCTCAGAACTGGACCTCGATGATTTTTTAGGATTATCGGCCCTTACCTGGAGTAGGTGAGGTTTACAGACAGCAGCTTGCTGCTGGGAACCCAGAGCGTGGGATGACCCTGAGTGTCGTAGATGATCTTCAACAGGAACTTCCTGTGGTCATCGTAGATCTTCTCTGTTCGCAGAGAGCGGTCATAGTCAACGGAGAGCAGGTTCCTGCCGTTCACCTGGGAGAGACACACAATTACTGAAGCAGGACGATACAATCAAAACGAACCAATCACAGGATTAAAAACAAGTGTCTTGATGGAGAACGCTGTGGGCTTCTCTTACCCTGAGTTTACGGCCGTAGACGATGACTTTCCCTCTTGTCTGTTCCTTCCTGAACCTCCACTCCACCAAGTTCTGACCGTTCTCTCCAGGGAGCGTCATGTTCCTTCGAGCGATGGTCGGATTAGCGGCACCTTCAGGTGGAGACAGGAAAAATTAAGATTTTCCAATGGGTTGGAGAAATTATAGTACACATCGGTGCTTCCCTGAAACTTTTTATTCAACACCTTTAGTAACGGAGTAACTGATGCAACAGCTTAAAAAAAAAAGAAACCGTACCTGCTAGAATGTTTGGTTCAGTCTGATAGTGAGTGTCCATCCCATTGGCATAGATGAGTCTGAGCGAGTGATCGTTTCCAACCTGATAACTGTTCCTCAGCTGATCTGTGGCAGACAGACAGACAGACAGACAGAGAGAGACAGTCACACGGAAGCAGTCAGAGACAGAGAGACCGTCTGTGCGCTTTTGACAGTGTTGTGTCTGTGCGAGTGTTTGACAGTCAGTGTCTGTAGGTCTCACCCTGCACCAGAGTGTAGAAAGAGTCAATGGAGGACAGGTTTGTGGTGATGGACACGTCCTCCTCCCTTCCTGACGTCTCCACGTCCACAGCTACAGCTCCTGAGGACATGTCACTGTGGAGGTTGGTAACCACGCCTGTAGGGAAGGTCACGTTGGTCAGCCGTCCTTCACTGTCATAGCTGTGGAGAGAGACGAGATTGTGGCGGTGAGATGGGGGCGGGGTCTACTTTATGATCTTTATGATCCGTCCTCCCATCATCCATCCATCCACCGCTCAGTTCATCCATCCGTCCATTAATCCATCCATCCATCCATCAGGTCTCACTCGTAGAATGTGGTCCAGCCGATCTGGATGCTCTTTGTTGCCAACAACCCACTGTTGCCGTGGTAACTGAACAGAACCAGTTCCTTTCCCTGAGCTGTCAAAGTCTTTAGACCTCCATTTGTGCCGATGTTGAGCCAGATCACCTAAAACACACATGCAAAGGCACACCGACATGAACCACTCCTCTCCAAACCCTCACTGACACAAACTGACCACAGGAGGCAGCAGTGGACCATCAGGTCCTGTGTTTCTGAGAGCTAAAATCACTCATTTCCTCTGTGGACTTTGGTGGGAAGAGTTTACACAATAAAAAAAAAAACCCATCAAATATGAGGTTGAGTCTCACCTGGTTGTCGGGGGCAACCACCCGTACAGGCAACCTGTTGGTGTCTCTACGGATACGCAGCGTGTTCCCACTGCTGTCCGTCACTGCCGTCACATCGTCCTCATTACTGTAGGGACCAGGGACACAGATCCTTTTCAAGAAAAACCCAAGCTTTGCCCCTCTTCATCCCAACTGTGACCAATGCTAACTTCTAAGATCATTTTCTATGGGATTTTTCAGGTTTCTTTTTGAAAAATTCAGGCTATATTTGCTAGCTAATACATAGCTTTTTTGGTTACCCATCACAAGACGAATTTTAATAATTGTTTTTTTGTAATACATTTGAGCAAATTCTAAGCGTTTAACTGTGTAACTTCAGCTACTGACCTGTAGCTGAAGTTGTACTTGAAGTCTCCTGTGACGAGCGACATTGTGAACTGATGAGTTCCATTCCAGTCAAACACGTAAAGTTCCTGAGTCGCCGGAGAAGCTACTTCATAAGAACTGGGACCAGAAGCCAGGGAACCTGAAGGAACAAGAATGAGAAGACAGGCAACATTGAACCTTAAGAACTAAAAAAGAAAACGGTTTCCCTGTGCTCACGTCCTCTACCTGTGGGTGGTTGGTTTCTACGTATGGCCCGGATACGGATGTTTCCCAAATCGGCCACATAGAGTGTTCCGTCTGGAGACACCACCAAAGAAGAAGGACAATTGAGGCGGGCGTCTTTGGCGTAGCCGTCTCCAGTTTGGTAGCAGTCACAGTTAGCATCGTTCTGTAAGGACAGGCTAACATTTAGCTAAGATGGCTTGGGTTACTTTGGTTACTGGTAAAGCTGTGTTTTAGTCTATAAGTTAACAATGACAATTTAAATAATCTGATCTGATATGAATGATATTGCTTTGTTTTAGTCACTAAAATGAGATCGCTAACATTTAGATTTTTCTTGTCTATTTTGGTTAACGTATAAGTAGGTTGTAAACTACATCTAGTTCTTTTTTACAAAAAATGAAAAAAATGTTACAGCTTTTCTTTTTTTTTATTCACATGATCCTCAAACTTTTAGGTGCATCTCGAAGTCAGTAAATCAAATTAAATCAGGACTTCAATAATCAATCTTCACACCAGTTCACACAAACCACGGCGGCAGGACCTTCTTTATCCCAGAGGTTTTATCTCATAGCACTAGAAACCATTATAAAAGTACAGAACAATTCTAGTTTTCAGGTTCTGTCTTTCCACTGTGGAGAAAGTTTATTTGATGTTTCCCAGTGGACACAAGTTCCTGAAGGTTCAAAAAATCTCTGGTCTTTGTAAGAACTTTTCTACTAACTCAGAGAACCAAAAAATTACTTTCAGCAGAAGTGTTCAGAAGTACCAGGACCAGAACAATAATCTAACTCTAATGGAAACCTGAATTCGAAAATGTTCCTCCAAAAACTCTGGATCCTACGTCTAAAAGCTGCAGTCAACAGTGGCAACGGTCAGAGAGGTGCAGTACCTTACAGTCACACTCAGAGAGCGCTCCAGCTAAATGAGTGATTTCTCCATCGGTGGACACCTGTGGGTCAAACAGAAAGAGGTCAGGAGTGAAGGAACCGGAAGAACCTCCATCAGTCTCAAGGACGACAGGAAGTAATCGGACTCTGCGGTCCTCGGTTACGTTTGAGAGCCGTGTTCAGTTCTGCCTACCTGACGAATGCGGTGAATCTTCTTCTCGTCAGTCTCAGCGATGTAGAGGACGCCGCTGTAGGACAGGGCGATGGCCGTGGCCCCTTCCAACATGGTCTGCACCGCCCTCTTTCCCAGAGTGTATTCTATACCAGGAACCTGGCAGTGCATAGGCCGACCCGCTACGATACGAACCTGACGCAACACACGAACGTGGAGAAAGGTTAGAAAGAACAATACTGTTTTTATGGTTTTATTTAATTACTATTTATTATTTCATTTATATATATTTTTATTGCATTATGTTAGGGATGTCCGTTATTGACTTTTTGCCGATATGCCGATATTGTCCAAACACGTAATTTCCGATTCCGATATCAACCGATATCGATATAGTCCTGGTAACATTTATTTATTCATCTGTACAAACCATTGTATGAGATTAATTAAATGCTGCAATGCTGCCATCTAGTGACCTTTGCTTTAATATACAGCTGTTGATCCCCAAAACTATTTTTAGGGCACACATCATTTGGTGAGACCCAGGCATTACGTTATTGAGTTTTCATTATCGGAGGAAAAACCGAGAACGATACTTACAGATATTACACAATATGCTAATATTGTGGCGATAATATCGGTCGGTCACAGTCAAAGTTTAGCATGAAAACAGCACTAATTTAATACAATTTTAATTACAACAGTATTAAAATAAAATAAAAAATAATATTATTGAACATCATTAAAATAAAAAGGAACATTCTATAATTATCCATAAACCCTGAATCATATTTTAATTAAAATAATTAAATCCATCATGAATCGTTACCTGTCTGTTTTCAGTGATCTGCAGGACGACATTGTTGTCCAGGACGTAGATGGAATTATCCATGGGGTTAATGGCCAGGTCTGTGGGCCATTCCAGACGAACCTAGAGGAACAAAGACAAATGATTTATTCTATGAATTCTTTATCCACTATCCATCCATTTTCATCCGCTTATCCGTTACCGGGTCCTGGGAGTAGCAGCCTCTATAACCTCCAGCTAAATCACACTGCACCGTACCAACCCCCCCTGAACCTTCCTGCAGGTGGTGAGTCCACTGGAAGGTACCAACTGCCCTAACTGGGATTCGATCTTGCCCAGGAGGTGAACCCTGGGGCTCCACACCAATGACAGAGACATGGCCTCTGGGCCAAAGCGCCACTGTGATTTTTTATTCAAATAAAAAATAAATAGATGTATATAAAGACAGACAGAAAAAGGTGTGTTTCTGTGAGCATAAATCACTGATTCTCTCAGTGGACTTTGGTCTGTGAACTGAAAATTGAGGTCTTATATATAGGATATACTGCAGTGATCACCAACTGGTGAACCACAGGCCAAATCCAGCCCGCTAAACCATCCAATCCAGCCTGCAACGGGATTCCAAAATAGACATCAAATAATAATGCTAGACAAAAATGTGATTTTCCAACCCCCATGGTGTTACTACAGAAAAATACTGGCCCTCTGACAAATATAGTTGATGAGGTGTGAGGACTACTGTAGGTGTGTGTGTGTGTGTGTGTGTGTGTACCTGTTTAACGTGCATGCTGGTGTCACAGGTCAGTGGTCTGGCAGAGGTCAGGTCATTACTGCCCAGAACAGTGGAGATAATCCCGTTGCGGTCCACTTTCCTGATCATGGTTCCATCTACAAAGTAGATGAGACCGTTTTTGTCAACGGCAATCCCTGAAAGGAGAAAAAAAAAAAACAACAAAAGGTCAACACATCAGTAGTGTTCAACATCAATGAGATATAAATGGGGGAAAAAGTAAATGTCAATATGTAAAGGTTTGAGCAGAAATACACTTCTTGTATGAAAGCATTTGCGCTGAAGTAGCTGCAAATATATATTGTACAGAGAAAACGTTTGCACATAGTCAGCAGAGAAAAACCTGCTCTTCAGAAAAAGAATGGATGAAATTAAACGTCTGTCTGCAGAAATAAAAATTCGTCAGGACATTTTAAAAGTTTGTCAACAGAACAAATGCACAAAGTTGGAGGAAATATATCATATGTTGTGAATCAATGCGCCGAGTCAGCAGAAAATGACAGGTTTGCAGAAAGGAACGCGGGAAGTGTGTTTTCTTTATAAAAGTGATGATAATCAAGTCAACAAAAATACACTTGTCATAAACGAAGACACAACGGCCCAGTTAAAGTGTGTGTGTCTGCACCTTTCGGTCCCAGCAGCTGAGCTTCGGTAGCTTTTCTTCCGTCGCCACACCTGGACTCATCAAATGGAGGACACTGCTCACCTGTTCCAGCCACAACTTCTCCATTGCCTTCAAAACACACACAACAGTCAACAACAGGACATGAAAATCAGGAATCAGGAATCCAGAACCGAGGTCCGGACACTGATGCTGTCCAGGTTTTTAGAAGATTTTTAGGCACATCTACAATTTATTTTACAAAAACAAAGCTCTTACTGATCAGGTCCCGCGCGCCGCTAAGCATCTTGGGTCGGTAGATTCTTCTGGAGTTGGTGTCGGACACATAGAGCTGACTTGTGACCGGGTCAGTGGCCATGTAGTAGCGGTGGGCGGGGTTGTTGCTGGGGTCAGTAAAGAAAAGAACGTCACGGTTCAAGGTGTGTTTAAAGTGCAAAATCAAACCTTACTTCACGTAAATAAATGTCTGTACCACACATACAACTGACTTGAGGTTGAACAGATGGTAATAAAAAACAGAAATAAATAGCCCAAAAGCTCAATATAGCGCATTTGTACAGAAAAGGCAGCTAAACTAAAAAGTTTACCGTAGCTTAGTCCCAAAATAGCTTTAAATTAGCCCAATAGCCAAAACCCAGCCCTTAAAAGCTAAGAATAGCCACAAACACTTTGGTTAGCGCAGGTAATGGAATAAATATAGGAGAAATAAATACAATTTCAAATAGAGATGTGACTTATCACTGACAAATTTGTGGAATCTGACAGGCAGTGACATGGCATGAATGTAGGTGACATTATCCGTCGGCAGGGAAAAAAGAGAGACTAGAGCCAAAGACTGAAGGTAGAGACAGATGTTTCACTCTTACCTATGTCTGAAATCTTTGTTTCTTTAACACAGAAGCAGCAAAGAAGGAAAAGAGGAGAAAGTGGGTGTTAACTGAAAACTCCAGAAAATCTGGATCAGACTTAGTCCAGTTCTCAGAGATCAGGTCTAAGTCTAAGTCTCAGCAGAGTCGGCATAGGGTTTTTCAAGTCCCCTGAGTTTCAGCTTTGAGTCCAAGTCATTTTAAAAAAAGTCTGAGAGGAGTCGAAATAAAGGTTTAGGGCTCCAGGTAACAGAGAAAAGAGTTCAGGTCAGGAGCCAGGTTTAGATCCACGGCAAAGTTAGTCAAGTTTTAGTCAATTCTGAGTTGCGTCTCCAAGGCACACCTGAGTGGCTGAAGAGAAAGACTCACAGGATTTTTCACTTTTCTGGAGTTTAACACAAGTTACTTGTTAGTGCTCAGAAAAAATGTCTCCAGTTTTATGAACTCCAAGTCATAGTCTCATACCCTGAAATGTGAAGGCCTGAATCTGAGTATTTGTCAGTGTAGAGTTTTGTGATCTGGTCACTGAACATACCTCAGCTCCATAACACTGGTGACGTTCCCAGATGGAAAGATCCTGCGGATGTAGTTGAAGTCTCCGACGTAGAGGCTGCCGTCGGCTCCACAAGCCAGAGCGAGAGGAGCGAGGAGTTTGTTTCCTTCAGCCTGACCGTTACAGCTGGGACAGGAGATGCTGCGGCGGCGCCCATTTCCTAAAGCAGGAAGTTCCAGAAAAAAAAAATGTTTCTCCAGTACACTCTTTTTTTATTTATTGCATTATAATGGCTGCAAACAAGCAAAACAAACAAGCTAATGCTAAAAGGCTAAACAAGATAAAGGCTAATCTCAGCATGGTCAGCCCTGAGATGTTTGTGTCAGGAGACGAGACTCCAAAATTACTCTCCGTTTCTTATCTTGACTCACCCATGATGCTGCTGATGACAGGAGGCTGCTGGGAAATAAACACGTTCTCACCGTTGCCCTTGTACAAAATACCTGCCAGAGGAATATCAACAAGGGAGAGGAGGAAGAGAGATCAGACAAAACATCTAAAAGTTATTTGAAGAAAATAAAGAAAAAAAAAGAACAAAATATAACATTTTGTAAAAATTAAAATGAAACTCTAACTAGCAATAGTTGGTGTTCTGCAGCTAATGTTTATCTAAAGAAAACCAGACGACGACAGCTGTGAGCCTACCAACACACACCGTTCTGAATGTCCAGGATGTGGTGTTTGTCCAGAGTCCAGCCTCCCATGTTGGACGCGTCCAGTTCGAAGCCCTGTAATGTTGCCGTCCGCTTCTCCCATAGGATCAGGTCCAGACAGGACTCGTACTCAAAGCCCACTGACACTAATACACACATACAGAATATTTGTTGTTGTCAAATTAACAAGGTTAAAATCTAGACTGATCCTGGGCCAGTTGTTGTTTTTTTTTTCAGTGAACGTTAGAACTGTGATTGGATTCACTCCACGTCAACATGTTTCAGTGTAAATCTCGACTTCATTGATCGTACGTCAACATCCTGAAACCTGGACCAATACCAATTCTAAGGATCAGATCGGACCATGGATAATTAGATGAGTGTGTGTCTCCTGACTGACAGGACCAACGCTCACACAGTCCAAGTGTCTTCTCCTCTGACCTCACTTGACCTCATTGACACAAACTAACCACAGCGGCCATTTCCAATAGTTTATTGTTATCTAACTCACCAACAGCTTCGGAAAGTCCGTAGACCCGCTGACCATAGGCATCGGTTTTGTCCCAGATGAAGGTGTAGGACAGGTTCGGTTGGGCAGGGAACCATTTCTGGAACAGACGACCCACTACTGCCACCATGAGGTGAACCTGCCGAAAGAAAAAGTCGACGCTGGGTCACTGTTGCGTGTGAATGAACCCACAGGTTCATGTTCCCAATTAAACAAAGTTCCTACAGTAGAATCACACTTCCTAGAACTGTCAACAAGCGCTAGTACTGTTTGATCCTGGATGAGAGTGACCTTCTTACCTTCATCAGGTTGAAGGGGATGGAGGTTTGGGTCATGGTGATCCTCAGGACTGGTTTGTATCCTGAGGCCCTGGAGCTCAGGTAGACCAGGTGGAGGTCACTACCTGGAATGGAGGTTTGCTCCTGTAAGACCTAGAGAGGGAGTAAAAGACACAACACTCAGATACATCATAACTGTCACCTTCAACAGTTCTGACGTTCCAGAGGAGGTAGAATCAGAACCTGGTCGGAACCTTTCAATGTGCCTGATTTATAAACAAATATTTGAACAAAAAAAAAATAACAGTATAGGCTTCCGCCTTCCACTGAAACTCTCCTTCAGACATCTGTTTTTTCTCTGACCTGTGTCTCGGGAATAATGGGTCCGTCCGCAGGAGAACTTCTGTAGAATGTGGACAGAGGTGAAGCCACGATGACGGGGCTGGGTCTGACGAAGCCACTCAGGTCACAGCTGGGGATGTCGTTCTCCTCCTGGAAAACAATGATTTCAGCAGTGGTCAATGAGACGTCTCTGATAGTCCTACTGTTTTACACATACCCAACCTCATACAGAAAACTGCAGATTTGAACTCACACTAAACATCACATAGAAAATCAAAGATTTAACCTCTAAAAGACATTCCAGTATTTTTGGATCATCTGCAGCCCGTGTGAGTTTGTGAAAAGACGATCACAGACTCTTCTCACCTTCTTCATGACCAGCGTGTCCATCACATGGAAGACATTCCATGGTAGCCACACTGTCCTGTACTGAGTGATGAACGGAGCGCGCTCAAAGCTCAGGGTCAGAGACGCTCCACCATTGGCCAGCAGGTCGAACCTTCAGTGAGTCCACAGGAAGTGAGTGATTAAGAAGTGATTAGTTATTTAAGTTTGTTTTTTTTCCGTGTGTTTCGTCTAATTTTAAAACTTAGACTTACAGGCCGTCCTTGCGCGTCACTGTGTGTCCGTGTTCGGGATAATGAAGGAAAGTGACATTGACTCCGATGAGAGGAGTTCCATCGGCCGTCAACACCTGACCTCGGATGATGGACACCAAGCTGCAGCGATACAGAGACAGAGGTTTCACCTTAATTCCACAGACGTGATGAAGATGATTATCATCATCTTTATTTAATGAGAGGAGCTGTGGTTTCCCTGCAGCACAGACCAGTCCTTTTCTAATTAAAGAGGAGGTTTTTTTTTGTCTTTACAGCAGCGGCTGGTGAAAGGTGTGAAAAACAAATGACAGGCTTCATTAAGTCTGACTTTAATGATCTGAGATAAGAGTCTGTTCACATTACTGCTCACGTCTCCCTACTGCTGCCTCAGGAAAATTCGACTGAGAGGCTGAGTCTTTACTTTCCACTGTAGGAAAAACACATTATCACCAGATGTTTTATCCCTGTAGTTTATAAACACTGCTTCTCACACACCAAAGTTCCGAGAGAAAATCACTGATTTAAGCTCACAGACCGAAATACACAGAAACAGTCTCTCACAGAATTGTCCATGTGTAAAATCAAACAACCTTCTGTTGAAGGGATTTTCTCCATTGATGACATGAGTGGATTCAGGACCGAGCAGGAAGTGGACGCGCTGATAAAAGGACCTCGCAGCCTAACAAAACACAGGCACAAAATAACTGTTACAACTGTTCATTGACGACATATAACTGTCACAGTCAACACACGTGTGATGTCATCACCTGCTGAGGAGCCAATGAGGATGGAGACTGACTGAGCAGCTCCGCCGGTTCAGGGGAGCCTACACAGAACAGGTGATTCTGACAGGACGGCTGCAGACAGCAGTCTGGATCCATGCAGTCCAGGAGACCGTCTAAAACACACACACGCACAGAAATACACACGCAGACAGAGATATGAAGACTTTTTTTACAAACATAAACCTGCAGATGAAGGATGATTTTTTTTTATTATGTATAAGGTTTCTTTAGCACCACCTTTAGAACACAAACACACTATGACCAGTTTTTGCCAAATATTGGCAAATACACTAACATGTAAAACAGGACCTGGGAACAAGAACTGTTAGCTTCCCTACCACAGTCCATGGTTCTCAGTGGTTAAAATAACATTTAATTTTAAACTTTTTTTTTCTCCACGGGAACAGAACACCGTTACCTCCTTCGTTGTCCTTTCCATCAGTACAGACAGTTTCCATGGCAACGTGGCACCCTGCACCCCTCCATCCTGATTGGCAGATGCAGTGCCAGCCGCTTGTCTCCAGGGTGCAGCGTCCGTTGTTGTTGCAGAGACCTGGGCAACCCTCTGAAAAATCATAAACAGACAGAAAGTTACTTTCAAGGGAGGAGGGAGAGGGGGTGGAGTCAGAGCAGCAGCAGCAGCGAGAGGGCAGGGACAGATTTGTAGGGGCGTGTCAAGTTGTGGCTGCCAACCAATCAGAGAAGTTTCCAACAAATAAGAAGCGAAGTTGATGACGGTGGAGCTTCTGAATCAGCAGGTAGAAAAATAGAAGATTAAATCTGATCTGTTTTTGAAAATAAACAGACCTGAAGAAAATCTAACATCTTTAATCCAGAGAGAAAGGTCAGGAAAACACCTGTTCTTTTTAATGGAGATGAAATCAGAAAATGAATAAAATTACTTTAATCCAGAGAGAAAAATAAGAGATATGATTTGATCTGTTAAATCCATAGAAAAGACAGAGATATCATCTGATTTCTTTAATCTAAAGTCCCCATTGTGGGACAAATAAAGGATTTATTAATCCTAATCTTAAATAGAAAAGAAATAATCTGAGCTCTTTAATCCAGAGTCATCTATCTGGCCTACATGCTGCTTCAGAAAACTGTTTGTTTCAGTCTGAAGACTTTTTTTTTACTAATGTCCCTAATGTGTTTATGTCCATCGTCAGCAGACCACACGCTGATGCTGAGTGCAGTTTGTTTGTATGACCACACGTGAACAACACACACACACCCACACACACAAAACACACAGGACGAGCGAGAGAGAGAGAGGACACAGAGATGCCAACGTACAAAAAAGTAAACATACAAACATGTAAAAATCGAAACATATATAATATAAACATACAAACATACGTATAAACATGTAAGCAGAGACAACAGTGTTCACAGTCAAATGACGAACTGATGTATTTTCACATGAACTCTTTTCAAACATTTAAAAAAAAAGAAAATTGAAAAGTTTTACAGCACTAATTTAAAAAATGTATTTAGATTATAATAGTTTATAATATTGTGTATTGTTTTTCTTATAATGTTGAGAAGTCATATTTTGAAACACATTATTTATTAAGAATTTATTTTTTAAATATGAGACATGTTTTAAAAAAGCAATGAAAAAATGTTTTTTAAAAGTTTTAAGAAAAATAGCAGAGGGAACACAATTAATGTTAAAAAGTTCATGTGAAAAAAAAATCACAGCAGACAAAGAAACAGGAAGTGGATTCTGGACCGGAGTCCTAATATTGAAATTTCTTCATTGCGTACACACACAGCCACACACACACATCACACAGGCTCATCAACGCAGGACAAAGGCTGAGCTCAGAGTGAACCCAGGTCAGAAGTTAGTGTGAACTGAGACAAATGTACTGAAGGAGTTTTTAAAAAGCCAAACGCTAGCAAACGGTATAATACCTTAACGGCTAAAGAATACTTAAGAAACCAAAGTAACACATTTTACAGAAGCAGTTGTAAAAAGGCTTACTAGTGTGTGTGTGTGTGTGTGTGTGTGCGTGTGTTTATGACATGACAGGAAAATGAACGAGTGAGTGAAATTAAATACAGAAATTAAATGCAGAAAGAAAAAGTGAACACAAGCCATCGGAGACATTAACAAGTATCTAACATGAAAGAAACAACAAAAATGTGAACAAATGAGGAGAGTGCAGTTAGGATCAAAACCCTCTGCTGATGGAATTACCTTTGTATCCTGGGATTAGGAGAGAGGGCAACAGGGAGAGAGGCAGGAAAATTAGGGAGGAGAATTGGAAAAATATCCAGAAACAAGAGCACTGAGGTGTGTGTGTGTGTGTGTGTGAGTGAGAGAGTGAGTGTGTGTGTGTGTGATAAATATATGCAATAATGAAGGTAAAGGAAAGTGGAGCAAAGGGGGAATAAAACCAAAGTCAAGTTAATTTGAATCAGTCAAATTAAATTAAGTTCATATAAACCAGACTTGAGATTAAAGTCAGGTTAATTTAAACCAGGCTTAGTTTGATGTTTATGCTAAACCAGTCTTCAGTCAGTCTAGAGTCTGGTCTCTTAAATCCAGTCTTTAGTCTGACCTAAATCAGGTAATTTAAATCCAGTCTTTAGTCAGAAGTAGGTCTAGTAAATTTAATCCAGTCTTCAGTCAGACTAAAGTCAGGTTTGATTTAAACCAGTCCTCGGTCTCAAAGCTGCTGTTGTTGCTAGTTCTTCCGACAGTGATGAAAATAAAGAGAGGAAAACCAGCATCTGTACTGACCTTTGACCTCAGCTTACCATCATCGTCACATGACTATTTTAACTGCACTGACTCCCAACTGTGATTCTCTTTTCACCTTCAAACCTATTCTCTCTCCTAAGAGTCCAGGTTCTCATTCCACTGGTTTTTAATAAGAAAACTAGATAAAACTTTTGTCCAGTTTAGCAAATAATTAAATATCTGTATTTGTGTATAATTGTGTGGTGTTTTTTTTTTTTTAATTTCGAACCAGAAATTTTAATAATGTGTGATCTCACTGTGGAGATAGAGAAAAAAAAGCATCAGCAGCAGCATGAGCATCAATATCTTTTGAGGTCATAGAAGGGGCAGCAGGAGAAGAGTGAAACTTTGACTGATGGACATTACAAAAAAGTCCCCAAAAGTCAAAGAACGGAGTTAAGTGATCCTTCGTGAATGAAGGAATGAAGGGAACGATGAAGGAGAAGAACATGGGCAAAATATTTCTGAAATTCTATACAATGATACAAAAATCAAAACAAAAGGAGGAAGAAGAGAAGAAGATGAAGAACATCACGATACCTTTGACTCTAACGTCCGGATTGTGAGCTTTAGAAGAGAGGAGGAAAACAGAGGAAGAGGAGGAGAGTAGGAAAAGAATTTCAGTCTAAAAGGAGCGGCGTTTGTTTTCATCATCAGTTCAACACAGACACGATTCTCAGTTATATATTATGGCAGAAACAGTTCAAGGGTAGTCTTAGAGAAGCTAACAGTTAGCATTAATGTAGCAAACAGTGAGTTCGTGAGTACTAGTTTTAGGAACAGTACTACGTGGTTATTTGAGTACTCACCTATGTTGCAGTGTTCGCCAGTCCAGCCCTGGTCACACTCACACTTCCCCTCCTTACACACGCCGTTCTTGCTGCACATAGGATGACACGCCTTCTGGTCACACACACTTCCTGTCCAGCCGTCCTCGCAGCGACACACTCCGCCATAACACACTCCATGGGTGCCGCAGTCCACCTCACACACCTCTGCTGGAACAGAGAAGAGGAAAGAAAATAATCTTAAATCTCACTACGACAGTCTTCATGTGGTCCAGTCCACGCTGAGGTCATGACCTCCAGCGTCTCTGGCCCAGCTTGTTCGAGACTCAGTCGCTGTTACACAAACAAAAGTGAAATATGGCACAGATCCAGGGAAATATAAGATCCACGCCAAAAATATTAGACTGCTCCACATTCTGGGAACCAGACGTGGCCCACAAATGTGTCTTGTTGTGTAACATGGTCCCAATTAGAGACCAACTCTGCCTACAGTTTGGCAGAAGAAGGTCAACTGAGGGGAGTTGTGTGGTCTTTCACTGGGCCACTCCAATGTGGTCCACACACAAACATGGGCCACATACCTAACGCGCAGTCAGCTCCGGTCCAGTTCTGGTCACACGCACAGGAAGTGGTCTCTGCGTTGTAGGTTCCGTGACCTGAACACTGGTCCGGACACATGGCCTTGACAATCTCACAGCTGGACCCACCCCAGCCGGGCTGGCAGTGACACTCTCCATGAATACAAACTCCGTGGGCTGAACAGCTGGGGTCCATGCAGTCCACTGTGTGGCCCAAATACAAGAACAAAATCAATAACAACAACAACAACCTCAAAAATATCTATATCAAATATATAACCAAACTCAAACTTTTAATTTAAAAATTTAAATTGTCATTAATGAATGAATGCTAAATTTGCAGGTAAAATTATGATCTAATGTAATATAAAACATATTTTTGCTAATTTTATCAGTTGTGAAATTTCTTGAGTTTGAGAAAAAAAAATGGCCACATTCTCTCCCGATCACAGAAACCCCAGAAATCTTGAGCTGTGTCCCCCTCGTGGGGTTCTTGAAGTAGTACAGTCTACAGCCGTTTGAGAGGCAAAAAAAAAAAACCTTTCTTCCGCATAGATAATGAGGTTCATCAGAGATACAATTAAAGAAGAACACAAATCATTAATTTATAAGACGTTTACAGCGTCTCAGGACATCTGACTGAGGAAACAGAAACATCAGAGACACTCGTTCTGATTTAATTTAATTTTCTTCGTCTTCAGTTGAAGGTCCTGAGCAGTTTCTCAGTACTAATGAAAGTGTATAATTTAATTATGTAAATGGCTTTCTGGACCTCGCCACGTTTGTCCTCTGTCCCTGTCCTCAACACGTTCACTCATTGTTCTCTCTTAGCAGCTCATGTTTCAGCTTTTAAGGCACAGTCCAGTTTTTTATGTTTTAAACCAGACCATAGAGAAGAGCAACTGAAAATAATGGCTGGAGCTGTAGTAAAAAAAAAAATCAGTCGCTTAATGAAAAGAAAGAGCTGCCCGCTTCAGTCTAAGATTAATGGAGAATACATCTGCTGCTTTGGTTTGGAGACAACAATTACTTTGCAGCTGTCAAAACAAGTTCTCGTTGAATACGTTTAAAATCAAAGTGGGAAATTATTCATATTTAATAATCTTAATTTAGGGAATTACTTTGAGTGACTCTGGAAAATATGTTTTATTTGAATCATAAAAACAGCTGCAGTACCACAAGTGTCCACCGTAACCCTCCTTGGAGTGTATTCATATAGACGTGTGCGTTCCTCACCTTGCTCACAGTTTTCTCCCTTGTATCCGGTGTTACAGATGCAGGCTCCCATGATGCAGATTCCATGTCCTCCACAGTGGATGTCGATGCACTGATTGGACGGAACGTCGCACTCCGTGCCTTTCCAGCCGCTGTAGCACTGGCAGCGTCCACGGGAGTACTGACCGTTCCCGCTGCACAGCACCGGACAGGCTGCTAAAACAAGGACACAACTGGGTCAGAGTTCAGAAACAGAGGATGGAAATAGGTAGATTAAAATAAAAGACAACACTTTTTTTTTTGGCACATTTTGGACAGAATAATTACTATTTGTAATTAATTAAGAAAATTACCTGATGAAATAAAATATCCAGACAAAGGGTACGCAGGTAGGTGAGTGTGTGTGTGTGTGTGCTCTTACCTCGAGAGCAGTCAGGACCCAGGAATCCTGGGAAACAGTGACAAATTCCAGAGAGACAATCACCGTTTCCATGACAATTCTGAGGACACTCCATGATCGAGTCTAAAAGGGAGGGAGAGGGTGTAAACCGTTATTGGTTTTTTTCTACAATTTTTTGCTATATACTTGGCTAACTTTTAACTATTAGTATGATAGTATTTGCCAACTTTTTGCCTACAGTTGTGAATACATTTGCCTTAATTTTGAGTAACTGTTAACAATTTAGCTACAGCTTTGGTTAAAGCACGTGGATAATTTTCTTCACTCACTTTTAACATAGAAAATTTGTAGAAAAACAGGTAA